AGTTTGGCCTTCCTTGATTCTAATCTTGTCCTCAACAGTATAGATAATGAGCATGGGTAAGTCAATAGCAGGGGACGAATAGATGGAAAATGTCACTTTGAAATTATTTAAACCATTATGAGGAATAAGTCACTTGACAATATGCCCTACAAATAGTGCTTCAGTTTAACTGAGAGATAAATTCTGACTGATTTTTGCAGTGTAGTTGGCCCTGCCCAACAACTGAATATAGAAGTCAATGCTGAGTTGGCTAAAAAATCCAAAGATTTGGTGAAGAAATAGTAAGTAGAGAAATTTTGCATGTATTGGAAAAAATAAAATCCTCTAAACATGTAAAACTGATGAGGAATTCCAGTAAAGTTGAGCATGATCAAACCATTCAAAGTTAAAAGCATTCACATTAATAAGCATTATACCTTTTTGCTCTTATAGATTAAATTTTTAGGTAGTAATATTATAACTTATATTATATCCTTTTTTTAGCTCCTTCAGATCTATGAAAAACCCCAAGGAGGATTTTAACCCTCTTCTGATGAGCTTCAGCCAACAACAGGAAACAGAGTACCAGCAGAGACCGGATTTATCCTTCAAACTGGGACTGCTGTGTGCTCTATTTATGTTCATAGGGGTGGTGATAGTGCAAGTCATCATGTCTAATAGGTAGGTCATCATTAGGTCATAGGTCACCATTGCATATGTCATCAGGTCAAACAGGTAGGTCATCATTTATTTCCTATGTCACTTGTAACATGAGCTTTGATTGGTTACAAAGTCGGGTGTAAATTTCCGTCCACCCGACTTGAGCCGTGGGTAAATAAAGCGTGATTTCACATTTATGCATACTTTCTCTATGATGAGAACCAAATACACTGTAACATGACGTCACGATGCATTGTAGTACGTAGTTTTATTTTTTTGGTAGATTGAAACACAGTTGATTAGACATAGCTGCAGATCTGTAGCATTATGGTTTTATATATTTGTCTTTGACCATAACACTACAGATCCCGTAATGCAAAAAAGGTGCAATTTACGGCGCAATATTCTTTGCGCACTTTTGGGGAGAATTTCTCCACTTTCTAGCATTGATCAATCAACTACCTTTCACTCCCTAATTCTAGACACATTCTGTAGCCAATATGTATATTTTATCCACCTCCCAACCATTTATAGTTGTCTCTACAGGCAATAAACTCACTTGAAGTGAATTTTCAGCAATCTAACAAATAATTTTAATCAAGCGAGTTTATCACTTGTAGAGATGACTATAAAGGGTTGGGAGATGAGTAAAATTTCCCAAAAAATTCTCCCCCAAAAGTATTGCGCCGTAAATTGCACCTTTTTGCATTATGGGATCTGTAGCGTTATGGTCAAAGACAAATATATAAAACCATAATGCTACAGATCTGCAGCTAGATTAGACTCTGATGTTTACAAAGAATTTTTATGGGAACATAGGAAATAAATTGGTTATCCAGGTCCTATCAAGGGCGTATGGGGATTTACCCCGAGTTGTATTCATGACACCCTTCGGCCTTCAGCCTCGGGGTGTATGGAATGGAATAAAACCAGGGGTAAATCCCCATACACCCTTGATTGAACTTGGATAACAAATAATGTCACCACATGCAGGTAAATCATTGTGTGAGGTTGGATCTCTATTATATGAGTGGTTTGTTTTATTTTCCAGAGATGCCTTGTTTTTTATCAGTATTGTGTTGGGAGCCACTGTATTTGGCATTGTAATCAGCTTTAGTTTTTTCACAGAATGTTTGGTATGTATCTTATCAATTTATGCTGGAGAGAATTTTCTTTCCAAACTGAAATTTTTGCAAATTAATGTAAGCTAAGTGTTAAACTGTTATCTGATTTCTTCTTTATGGGTATCAAGCTAGTATATATAGCCATAAGATGTTAAGGCGAGTTTGTTATTCCTTTAATTTATTTTCTATTTACAGACACCAAGGAAAGGGAGTCCCCTGACCAATCGTTTGCTTGTATTGGCCTGTCATGTGACCAACAGTCTGGCCGCCAGAATTTGTGTGGCTTCTCTGTGTGTGTTCTGTGTCTTTATAACCTCCATTGTGCCCGTGGTAAGTCTCTATGACTTCAAGGATAACGCACAGTATTCTAGCTCAAAAGTCCATTAAACATTACAAGATAAGAGTGGAGCAATCAGGACCTCCAAAACATCAGTGCTGGGATCAGATGCCATGGAGGAGTGAGCATCCCCTGCTGACCGGTCACATCCTCCTTGTCATGATCGGGAAATATCAGAAAAATCTGTTGGCATTTCAGTATGTGAATAATGGACTAGTATGAAAAACGTCAGTCAGCATTTGATTTCAATTTTATTTGCCGACAAGGTCATTGTATCGACCATAGAACTTACGAAATAATGACTTTAAACAAGACTGCTGATTTTCTTGCTTCATCATCTTGTTTGTCAATAACTTACCTTGTTTTAGAAATTGTTCATACATAGAACATGCTCTTCTGCATCAAATCAACTGAGATATATAAACTCTGAATTCAGCTGACAAAGGAATATTGCTGCATAAGTAAGGGAAGTTGACGATTGAACAGTTTTAAGTCATTATCATGAAGTTTTGTTGTTGGATTACCATGAATGTCTTTTTCTAGTTAAAGATCCAAATATGAAACAAATGTGTCAGACTCTGTAATATCTTTAATTTCAAGCTCATGGAGATAAGTTGTTTTTACATAAGAATGGAAATTATTGTTAATTGACAATACTTAATACAGCCAGTGTTTTCTTCTCCTCATATATAAGATTTTACACAAATTCTGCTTCATTTGAATATAAAATTAGTTCTGCTAATAACGGGGCACAATTCATTCTCTTGGGAATTCCAATACATTGTTAAGTTTCTCTGACATCAATGTCATAGGTCAAGTGTCAGAGGTTAGGATATGTGTCCTAACAGTGAGCTGTCCCTGCTATATTGTCAGAATTCTCACTGTAAATGTCAACTGAGGCATTGACTATGATTCAAAAGTTCAAAAATTGCAAAATTTCGTTATATTCCAGGCATGTATGTCAAAGAGATTTTAATATATGTAATCTGGTAAAATCATAAAAATAAAATTCCCTGTCTTTGTTATAATCACAGCCTACATATGTTGATATATGATGTAAGATATATAATGTTTATAACAAAGTCAACATTTTCCTGGTTTTATCTGGATATTTGGGAATAATTCTAGTTAAGAGTATGTGCTACATGTATTAGCTCATTGAGTACCTGCTAGATTCCAGAAATCCCTAATGCGTACTTGAGAGGAAAATATCATTATTATAACTGATACAGTGTATTAAGAAGCTTATCTAAAATATGATGCATCAAAATAAAAAAAACATATTCTTTGTTAATGAGAAATTTTAATAATTATCTTGTAGCAATAATTTTAGACTCGACATTGCTTTATTTTCGGAATTCTCATTAAAGCTAAACTTGGCTGCCAATGCCTGGTTTATATCACATTGGATAAATACTAGCTTGCATTGTATTATATTGATGTTACATGATCCCGTTAACCAATATTTATTTACTTGAACTTCTTTTCCTTTTTTACAGATAAGTACTCAATCCCCTCCAGATGACAAAAGTGCCGTCAACAATACAAAAATTCTGGTAACAACCTATCAGCAAAATTACATAATTAATCTATGTCTAAGTTCAATGTTTATAATTTGATAAATGGACAATATAATTACTTTTTTCAAGATCATTTTCTTTTAACTTAAAAAGAAAATTAAGCTGAGCTGAGAAATTGAGGGCCAAAGTTCAAGGTCATTCACATTATGATATTCTGAATGGTTCTAGTATAGAAATTTTGTTGCCTTGCATGCAGATGTTCAGGCCACATTTCTTATTCCTGGGACATGAAGTTTTCAGAGCCATCTTGCCTACACAAAGTCAACCGCGTGGCACAGTGGTTAGAGCATCTGCTCTAGAGTCACGGAGTAAGGAGTTGATCCTTATGTTGCAGGTTCGAATCCCACTGTGGGACGTGGAGACCGGTCCTTCAGACGAGACCCTATAAGCCAAGGTCCTTTGTCGCAGTAGGTGCTGGCACAAAAAAGATCCCTTATTCCTCAATGGCCATATGTGCTGAGTATAGGACAAAATTTGCAGCTCTGTAACAAACAAACAAAAAACCTGGATGTTGCATCTTTGGATGCATAAACACCACAAGAATGTTCTTTTAGTGTGAGACCTTGAACTATAGATAACCTTCACTGAGGTGGGCTTTGTAATCTTCACCTTTGTTTTTTTTTCAGTACTGGGCACACAGCAGTCTGTTTGGGATGGTCACTACAAGTCTCTTTCTACAAATTAGTCTCACCTTCAAGGTCGTTTTGACCATCATTGTTGTCATTGGTTACAACCTGGCTTTTCACCTCACAAGAACATTCCATGTTGACATGTTTATCAGGTAGGTACCCAAAATTTGATGATTTTTTTTATTTTTAATTTCAGGCAACTATAGCTATTGCCTAAAGATTTGTGAGAAATTATTTGATAATATTTCTAACCTGTATGCAAGCTTTTCTTGCTAAAAACACTTCAGATTTTAACCTATTTACAAAGCTTGGCACTGAAGTTACTTTAGTGGTCTTGAAGAACTATATTGTTATAAAGAATTTGGTTTTGTTTCTTCTTTGAGGGGAGGAGGAGGAGGGGGCATTATAATTGTCTAGTCAATTTTTCTTGATTTCGATTGTTGCGTAATTACTTGATCCTGTATGTTTTTCAGAAGCAGTATTGAACCCCTAGATATTGCAACAGGAATGTCCATCTACCTGGCAGTGTTTCTGTTCACCTTGATCTTTCATGACAGACAGGTATATATACTCTCTCTCTCTAGAAGCCATCATTTGGTGGACCAATCAATGTTTTCTCACTCGATTAGAAATATTATCCTGAGACATTTTTATCTTGGAACCTTCCATTGTACCTCAAATGTACGCTAAATCTGTAACTTAAAAATTGTGCAAATTGTCTGTAGCCTAATAGATGAAAACAAAGCACAGTGAGAATGGTCTAAATTAGGCAACAAATAGGATAATAATATGTACTATTCCAGAATATTCAGTATTTATCTCCCTTGTTCCAGATTAACCTCCAATTTAGATCTGACTGTAACTTCTTTATAGTTCTTATGTTATTATATTAAAATTTTAGAAAATATAAACTTCAAATCTGTGTCCAGGCCCATTTAAAAAAATTTCTTCTTATTAGGTACTTGAAACTCTGTGAAGATAAAAAATTTAATAACACACTTTTTAAAATTTTTAGTATTAAAACAATAGTCATGTAGAAACATTATATTTGAATTCTTTTTTAGGTGGAGTACGCAAATCGACTGGATTTCCTCTGGAGACGTGAATTTCAGTCGGAGACAGAGAAGGTCCGGAACACCGCGGAGCAGAACAAGAGGCTGTTAGAGAACATCTTACCCACTCACGTGGCCGAGTATTTCCTCCGGGGGAACCGCAGCAAAAATGTACGTAATTGTCAAATAAATGATTATAATGTAAAAGTTTTAAATCATTCACTAAAGTATAAAAAATCTGGTGCAAGCAAGCATTATAGTTTTTTTCTCCCGGTTGCCCAAGTTACTAAGTTTACGATTTTGTTTCAGGAGCTGTACAGTGAGTCACATGACAACGTCTGCGTGATGTTTGCCTCCATTCCTAACTTCAAAGACTTCTATCATCAAAACGCCTCCAATAAAAATGGAATAGAATGCATCCGAGTACTTAATGAAATCATTGTAGATTTTGATCAGGTGGGCCCTTACTTAAGGATTACATAAAACGATTTTCTACAATATGTCAAATTCACTCGAATTTTCTATTCATACGTCAAAATAAGTTTTAATTCATAAAAATTTATTTCCAGCTACTGTCAAGACCAGAGTTTTCAAACGTAGAAAAGATCAAGACTATAGGGAGTACGTACATGGCCGCGGCGGGTCTGCGCCCGGGTCAGGAGAATGAGGGACAGGAGGGGGAGGGGCGTAAAAACGTCGTCATGATGACCGAGTTCGCCATGACTATGATGGTCCAACTCGAGGAGATCAATCTCAACTCGTTCAATCAGTTCAAACTCAGAGTCGGTAAGCAGGACCTTTTATCCTTACTAAATCACTTCAAAGAATGAATCTTCATTTGTTTTGCAGAATGTATCTAAGGTTTGTACTCATATACACCTCGATCTTGAATCTAATATAGTACTTTTAAACAATATTTTTTACATACCCAGGTATTAACCATGGCCCTGTGATAGCCGGAGTGATCGGGGCCAGGAAGCCTCAGTTTGATATATGGGGGGACACGGTCAATGTGGCGAGTCGTATGGACAGCACCGGAGAGGCCAGCAAAATTCAGGTAACGGCGGTATTATTTAAATACATGAAGATGCAGCGAAATTAAATAAATTTTTACGATTTCATGCACAATGATTCAAAAGCCAAACAATGCTTGTACATTTGTAAAGCAGTTTCAATAGTAAAAAAAAACCCCACTGAAATGGAGGATGTAATTATAAAACTTAAATCTTTTCTGTCACAAAGAGCATGCAGGTGAAATGTGCTGGATTTTTTTTCAGGTTCCAGAAAAGACTGCACAGATACTTATCGAAGCAGGTTTTCAAAATGAATATAAAGGACTTACCAAGGTCAAAGGGAAAGAACCAATGAAGACCTACCTAATCTTACCACCTGCTATTGAAGCCAACTTTGACAGTCACGATTGAAGTTATTCTCCTATGCCCACCCCCGCTTTGTTAGGATCAGGCTCATCAGAATACTGTCCCGAGGGTAACGTGTTACAAGCGAAAAACTGACCATAGGGGATTCCAAATTGATCCATGTTCATCAACTCAAAGATCTCAAAGACAGAAAATAAGCCTACCCTTGATTAACAATTGCCAAAAAACATTCCAGAAAGATGATAAGAGGAAACACACTTCTGATTTTTTCAAAAACTGAAATTCGGGTAGTTTTGGCTGCAAAAATGTTTGTATATTGAAGTGGAGAGAATGAAATACATAAAGTTCTGCCCTTCAGAATTGTGCTCCTCTAATGATATGTGCCAAGCAGGAATCAAAGTCCTTACAGGTGATAAAATGAGGAATTTAAGTTAAAATGTGATTTGAGAGTCTTCTTTAAAACTAATATATGAAATACACAGGACAGAATGTGTAAAGTTTATGTATGTAACTACAGCAACTGTTATAATTATAGATCTCCATGAAAAAACCTAGCCATTTTAGTTTTATCAATGTGTATATGTATATATTAAAACATGAACCTAGCTATTTTGACCTGAGTGCATGACAATTCGGTATTGGTTGCACAGTGTACTTTGTATTAGTTGATACAATCAAAAACTGTGATATTTGTTCTATATTTATAGAAAAAATGTATTATCAAAACTGTCTAGTGATTTTATAATCCTTAGTTTATAAAACAGTGATGATTAAGTTATGCCATCCATATTTTTAAATATGTGTATCTATAATTATATTTTCATTGCCATCAATTCAAGATTATAAATGAATGTCTAATACTGTAAATGCATTAATGTAAAGGCTGGGAGAAAAAAATACATCTTGATATTGAGTATTCTGTATCAGATGTCCAATATATTCTTGAATTTGCATGCATAATTTTGCAAAAGAGCAATTTTTCTATGCAATTGATTAAGAATCTCTTCTATTAGTTTAAAATTCATCCAGGGTGAAAAAAATGAAGCACAACAATGATACATGCAATTGCAAATAATTAGTAGATTTATAAATATTTGGATTTTCATAGCATTTTATATGTTTTTTTTAATTTAAAGTATGTTTTATTCCTTTTTCAGTTACTTAATGAAAATTTGAATCTCATATTTTAATAGACCTCAGTAGTTTTACTTCCACTAAATGTAGACTTCCCATTGTACGTCACATCTACAATCATGAAAAATATGACTTACAGGAGATTGTGATGTGAAACATCAATAGATGTGACTTTTGTTTTTAGGGTTAATCCTTAATAGTAAAACCTCATATACCACACCATTTACAATGTTTTTTTTTCCTTCAGAAGTTTGTATTTTTATATTTTATGTATAGTCAGTGATGGTGTGATATTTTGTTGCTGTATTAATTTTAGAGAATTTGAATCATTAAATTGTAAAGAAAGATTCTTTTTAGTTTTTAAAAACTAATTAGAACATCAGACTGAGGATAGCGCCATGTTAAAATTACAGTCCAGAGGAAAGACTTGGAATGCTAAGCCAACTGAACAGAAGAAACCATTGCTTCAATGTGCCTGATAGGGAGTATAATCATAAACTCTTCAATAAATAAATTTTGGCACACAATAAAGGAATAATAATCCATGCTCATTATAAAATCAGTAATTCATGTCTGAAATATGGAGATAACAAATACTCAAACTCAAAAATCCATACATATCAGAAGCAGAGCAACACAGACCTCTTACACATCAGAGATGGGATCAGGTGCCATGGAGGAGTGAGCATCCCCTGTGGACTGGTCACACCCACCACATGCTCCTTGTGATTGGGAAAACAACAAGAAAAAAAGCTGTAGACAATTCAATTTGTAAATAATCAGCTGGCAATTAGGATGAAAACAAAATCAACATTCGACTCCATTACTAAATGTTTCTGCAGCCATTCACACTCCCTGTGTATTCCTTGTCATGGTCAGGCAAATGGAATAGTTGGTGGGTAATTCATATATAATGCTCTTACAATTGTACATATTAAAAACATCAATCAGCAGTGTCTTGTTGATAGACTTCACTTTCTGAAAAAGTCATTGAATTGACTGAAGAACTTGCGAAATGATGACTTTACATGAGACTGTTGATGTCCTTGTTCATCAACTTGTAAGTAGCTTGCCTTGTTTCAGAAATTGTTCCTAAAGAAAGACTGCTCTTTAGTATTGAATTAACAGAGAGACATAAACCCGGTATGCAGGTAATATGGGTATATTGCTACACATGTAAGAAAATGTCAGGAATTTATAAATGCACAACAAATTTTCTAAGGTCCCTCATATGGTACAATATGTACTATCATACATGAGACAAATACCTGACACCTATTATCTGTGAAATTTATTTATTTTTTTTTGGGGTGGGTGGGTGGGGTTGTTTGGACTTGACTGCTGTTTTCGTGGCAGCACAGGGATTCTGGTCTGCTCTTCTTCCTACTTATCCTTGGCCTGTGGTAATAGGAATTGTTTGTAAGGGAGAGTACTAGAATGGATCAAAATCCATAAGTTAGCAAACATAAGTTTTCTGTGAAAACAGTGCTTTTGACAATAATGATGATTTACAGTTGTCTCCCTTTAGAGCATTGTCATCAATACTGTGGAATCATTTTTATTCGTGGGTAGCCAAAAGTTTCTGGTTCGTGGGGACGTAATTTCGTTGATAACAAGTTCTTTATCTAATTCAATTTTTAATGAATAATAAAATAAATGTTTGTATCTACGTTCATAGGGATGTAAATTGGTGGGTCGGGGTTACACATGAAAGCCACGAACATTGGTCCCCCACAAACAATGATGATTCCACAGTATACACTGTTTAATGCTTATACCGGAGTATGGCAAAATGATCTGATCCTGAATTTCCAGAAAACTCTTTCAGATGAGCATTTTCTTTTTCACATTTTTTATTATAAATTCAAACTTAACAATACATCAATATTAACAACATACATTTCACTTTTCCCACTATAAATATGTAGAGATATATATTTCTATCCATATAAATGTAGAAACAATCTTTTATTAATGGGGCACATGATTCATTTCAAGCTTATTCAATAGATTATAAAAATATTTGAAAATACATTAATGTGTACAAATATATAATCTAGCTTCATTGAATAGATGCATCTAATACTAGGTATTAGATACCTACATGTACATGCCATGTTCTTTCAGTTAATCAATGTTTTATATATTACAATAAAACATAAAATAAAGTTATCAGTCATAAAACATTAAATTTTAAAAGATCTGCCCTTTTTTTGATATGCCAAATTTTCATGACACAAATTTTTCACTTTGCATGCAAACCTTTGTGATTTAGAACACCGTGATATGAAGAAAATGATCATTTGATAGCTTAATTAAAATCTGGTAGCTTACTTAACTTCACTTCTTTGAAATATTGTCTTGACACTGTCTATTCACTTTGATTTTGAAATAGAATATTCTTAGTTTTGGGTCATCCCTCATTTAAATATTATAGTATGTAATCATCATCAAAGGGAGAGAACTTACATCACAATCTTCCTTTTGAAGAAAATTTGTTCTGAAAAATAACCAACCTAAAACGCAGTGATCATTCTGTCAGATGCAAACTTGTATTCATCTCTGATGTGTGTCTGGTGACCACAGATCTGTTTTTATACTGCAGACGATTCACTTGGTTTTTATTTCAGTCATCTTTTGGCTTCATGAACTTTTTTTTTAAGGATTTCTTTTTTTCCTTTTTAGATGTCCCCTCGTCCACCGTTACATTCTTTTTGTTCTTTTGAGATGTCCCCGCGTCCACCGTTACGATAGAACTCTCCTTATCAAACGACTCATCAATCTCCGCTCGTTTCCTCTTCTTGGCAAATTTTTTGGCAATGGTTTGTGATAAAGACTTGTATCTATAAAAAGAAATGTTGACAAGGAAATGTTACACTGAGTTTGAAATCTAGCAGAGACTATATTTTATGAAGAATAAAGTGTAGGAAAAGATCACAAATTTTCCTTTTCAAATTTTACTTCAAAATATTTGATTTCATACACAGTGAATGAAAATTATAATAAGGGAGTAAAGATTTATACGATTCTAAATAAAAAACACTTTCTAACCAATTAGTTTGTTAGCCTTGGTAAGCTTACAACCAACTGCTAAGTTTATGTTTACGCTGTAGTTTTTGTGATTACACTGTTAAGTTTACGTGTAAAAAAGGTTTACGTGATACCTGTCTGCCATCTCCTGATCATTGACCGAGTTCTGAGCCTCCCTCGCTGCCGCCGCCTCTAGCTCCATCTCTGTGTTGTGGGATTTCATCAACTTCTACATACACAAACAACATCAGCTGATAAGTGTCAATTAATAATTACAGTTGAACTTCGGGATTTCGAACTCCAATATCTCAAATACCATGGATATGTCAAAGTGATCTGGAAGTCCCAACCACTTATTCTTTAAGTATTTAACCTTCAATATATTGAATCCTTGGATATCGTGAATTTTTTTCTCAGTCCCATCAGATTCGAGATAACGAAGTTTGACTGTAATTTGTGAAACACTCTATAATTATCTATATCTATTTCATTAGGTACAATCCTGACTTAATTAACCTACCTCCACTTCTGGGTTACAGCCGTTAAATGAAAATCGTCCAAACTGTAGACTCTCTATATGGGAAATATTGCCCTCAATAATGTATTTAGATCTAAAACAAAAGAATTATATCACATTATGTTGAATTAAACAATCACTGCCTTATAATATACCCCTATTTGGAGGAGATAAGGTAACATAATCATGTGTATGTTTGTCAGTAAGTGACTAATCAAATCCTGTGTGAAACGGAAATGACGGAATTTGCACTGAGATCAAAATAAAATACTGCCTTGATTTTTATATATCTATAGATATTTATATATATGTTTGTTTGTGTTTGCTTTGTCTGAATTCTTAAAGGATAAATGTTTATTCCAGTACAAAATGTTAGGAATGGTATATGAAGACGTGAAAATCTACATCTCGGTACATTTCCTTTGGATCAAACATGCCCAATATCAAATTGATCCCTTTTGCTCTGTTTCAGGTTAATCTAGTGCTACATGTACCTACAGTGTTCATCATTTATACACTTACTAAGTTACTCCTTAAAGCAATATGAGCTGCATATTTGACATCGGAAAAAAATGTTGCAAATTTGTAATTAACTATTTCAATGACAGAAAAATAGAACATTTATGAACTTCGTTTGTTCATATTTGCTATGAAAGATCTTTTTATACGCTTTTATTGAAGCTTTATTGAATTATTGTCGTCCTGTACAATAATGATTTCTTATATAATACTGTATATTCGGTTGTACAGAAATATTTCTTCTGAAACACTTTAAAACTTTATTTTGGTTTTATTGATCATAAGGGTTTAGAATACATACAGATTAATCATAATAACACATTTTACCAGCAAAATAAAATTCTCAAAAATGCAGCTCATATTGCTTTAATATATTCTGTTTTGGGTAAATCTAGGATCCAGTCTATATGTTCATCATATGCCCAATGTCATATTCAAACTTACTCCTTTTGTTCTGTTTCAGGTAAATCTAGGACCCAATGTTCATCATCTATAACTTTTTGTTTCCCCTCTTCTGTTTTCTCTTTCTCTATCTGCAGGGCACTTCTCTGCATGAACTGTAAAATTTAACAACAATAAATCTAGAGTATTGTAATATATAGATTAATTTCATACGAGAGGCAAATAAGTTCAGTTTCTATCTCTGGGTAAGAAGCACCTTCATTGGGGTTGAGAGGGGTGGAATTTTAACAAAAAGTAATAAAATTTGAATATATATATTTGCCTATTTATACTGCCATTATGGGTGACAAATCAATATTTGTACAACCCTTTTCATACATGTCTTGCACATGCAGTTTTATCATGGAAATAGTAAATCAAGAATGTGTCAGGAAACAAGGTTAGAATATTTTGAGCATTGATCATGGAAAAATCTGTTTGCATGACCTTATCTCTTACTCGTCATCTTTTGGCAAATTTGTTGAAATAAATTTTGTTTATAAAGTGCAAATTCATCGATTATAGTCAACCAATCAGAGAGCTGGAACTCATCTACAACTATAAAAATATGCAGTTTGCTATCTCTGCTATATACAATGTAGTTTAAAAAAATGCAAATTTTATTTTACAATGGAAACCAGAAGTCTCTGTCGAGACTGTAGCTCTACTGGTTTGTACTTATCAAAAACCATTGCACTATTTTATGTATCTTCAGGGTTCGAAATTAACTTTTTTTTAGCACTAGTCCGCACGGACTAATGACATCTAGCTTCCATTAGTCCGCAAACTATTCCACTAGTCCACCCACTAGTAGTATGTAAAAAGAACAACAAAAATCTTAAAATTTTATCAATTAATTCAATTAAATATGTGTCCACACATCAGTTGAAAGCATGTGGTGAAGGAAAGAGGGTTTTCAACTTTCAGAAGTCTTCACATGGACATGGCCACGTCTTTGTCTATCGATCACAATGTAGAAAACGCTTTATCGCAGTTGTGTTTCTCGTTTATTTTCAAACGTCTGAGAGATTCGGAAATAAAATTAATAAAATGTGAACCGATTCAAGACTTATATCCGGATTTGCACTAGTCCGTGCAGACTAGTACCTTACAAAATCTGCTAGTCCGACACAATTTTTACTAGTCTCCGACTTACGGACATGAGTTAATTTCAAACCCTGTATCTTTGTGTAGTCTACTTGTGTGCCAACTTTTTTTGAAATCAGACCAAAACTGTAGAAGGAGTAGTGTTTTAAAGGAATTTCACAGAGAATTCTATTTTTAGTAACCATGGCAACACCGTTCACTGAAATCAAAAACCTATGCACTATTCTATGTATCTTAGTGTAGTCTACTTGTGTGCCAAGTTATATTGAAATACCAAAACTGTAGAAGGAGTAGCGTTTTAAAGGAATTTCACAGAAAATTCTATATTTTGTAACCATGGCAACACCGTTCATCGAAATCAAAAACCGATGCACTATTCTATGTATCTTAGTGTAGTCTACTTGTGTACCAAGTTATATTGAAATCAGACCAAAACTGTAGAAGGAGTAATGTTTTTAATGAATTTCACAGAAAATTCTATTTTTAGTAACCATGGCAACACCTTCCATCTAAATCAAAAACCGATGCACTATGCTATGTATCTTAGTGTAGTCTACTTGTGTGCCAAGTTATATTGAAATCAGACCAAAACTGTAGAAGGAGTAGCGTTTTAAAGGAATTTCACAGAAAATTCTATTTTTAGTAACCATGGCAACATCGTTCATCGAGACCAAAAACCGATGCATTATTCTATGTATCTTAGTGTAGTCTACTTGTGTGCCAAGTTATATTGAAATCAGACCAAAACTGTAGAAGAAGTAGCGGTTTTAAGGAATTTCACAGAAAATTCTATTTTTAGTAACCATGGCAACACCGTTCATCAAAATCAAAAACCGATGCACTATTCTACGTATCTTAGTGTAGTCTGCTTGTGTGCCAAGTAATATTGAAATCAGACTAAAATTGTAGGAGGAGTAGAGTTTTGAAAAATTGTGTACAGACAGACGGACAGACAGACAGACGGACGGACGCCGGACGCATTACTATCGCATAAGCTCTTCTGGTCTCTGACCAGTAGAGCTAAAAAATCAAGTTGTACAAGTCAATGGAATCAAATACCAGTCAGAAAAAATTACTTATCTGTAATCACAAGTGCATCAACTACAGAAATAGTGTAATTCATGGATTTACCATTACAATTCTGTCCAGCAGCCAATCAAATAACCTATGCATATGAAATAAATTTGAAGATATTTCAAGGAGTTTGCCATTTGGTGATGAGCAAAAGAGATCACCTGTGGGTATCTGAAGATGTATTTTGATAACATACTGTAAACCAACTTTTATTCGTGACTTTATTTTGCGATATACCAGGGCATACATGTGACAGAACTGAACAATCACAACTGGAGATTTGAAATTTTTCAGCTGGAGTTTGGGTCTCAAAGCTGGAGATTTTTTATCGACATTTTTTTCAACGCGAAAGACCATCCAATCCCCTAGAAAATGCCGTCTCCCTCTTTATTTACTTAAAATAATTTTTATTTCATTAAGTCTAGCTTTAAAATAATATGTTAGAATTTTTATTCAAATGATCAGAAGTGAAATTGAATCAAAATGAATTTAATTCATTGGAATTAATTAAGAGTTAACATCATCATTAAAACATTTAATAAAATTTTATTTTTGGTACATTGTATTTGGTATTGATACATCAACCAGTAAGTGGAGTAAAACATAGGTCTTGTGTAACATATTTTATGTCAGTATTTTTTTTTAAATCGAATATGAATAGATAAAATTAACTTCTCTAAAAATACAACAAAGTAGAGTCAGGTATATTTTTTAGCAACACCCTGTAGTTTGATCTATTTTTAACTACAGTGTGATCCCGATTATAACTGTTTCTTTTAATGACCACTGCAGCATTAGAAGATGGCAATTGGGTATTTTAGCAACTAATTACAATGTTCTGCATTCAGCAATTTGGTAATAAAACATCGATGGTCATTTATCAAGTTGATATATCACTAATTTTTACAACCGAATTATACGACCTCATGTTGATTACTACGAAGCCTACCGCTGTGAAAATTTATTGCACTGCCGTTGTTATCTCAATGTATTGTCATTCTAGGCAATTATAAGAAACATGATAAAAATTAATGCAAAATATATTTAATTTGAATAATTATTTTAAACACGGAAGATTTAAAAATTAATCGGGAGGGGCGGAAGGGGGGTTGAAAATCGGGAGATTTTGCCTCCCGCCGGAAGAATCACATGTATGCCAGGGTAAACTAGTTTGCGACGATTAATTTTTGCGATCAAGCCTTTTTTGGATCTGCTAATTGTTAATTGACAGAGAGAGATTAAGGACCAGTTCGCAGCGAGAAATATTCGCGATGACGAGGCTCTCGCGAACCTCGCGAAAATTTCTCGCACGCGAATAAAAGTTGGTTTACAGGAAGTAGTCTAATATACAAAGAATTATTATATATCATTAGAGATAGTGCACTTTCTGTGTGTAACGAAATAATCATGCTGTAGTTATAGCATCGTCTGAAACCCATGACCATAAGCGTATGCAAGCTAGATTGGCCGTGGGTTTCTGACGATGTAGTAATAGTAGTTTATCCCATTTTTACTAAGATGATACTCCCCTCCCCTTGTAGCTCATCCAAAGAATAGGTCTCCATGTCCCACAGTGGGATTCGAACCCGCAACGTAAGGATCTGCAGCTCCTTACTTCGCGACTCTATAGAGCAGATGTAGGCTCTATAACCACTTAAGAGAATAGGCCTCTATGATTTCAATATGAGACATTTAGAGTGAAAGCATGCAATATATATAATTTAACAAATAAATCAGGCCAGGTCAGCTAAGCTCAGCCAAAAATTAAAATTATTAGAATGAGGATTCTAATATTGACATCTGTTAAATCACAAAAATGTAAACCTTCATTTGCAAGACATTCTTGGAAAGAGTGGATTTGCCGACATTCGTCATCTTGAGGATATCAGAAAAGAGATTTCCAAGCAACTATTTCACTATTCCAACTTCACTACATCCCACGTGGTTAGAATGCCGATGACTTCCAAATGCGAACCTATGCGGAATACCTTGCTCCTTGCACATAAGTTATTACTATTTAGCGAAAAATTCTTTTTACAAGATAAAGGTTAGTAAAAAATATGTTAGGACAAAAGTCTTGTATTTTTATTTATAAATAAGTCAGTAAATTAATAACTACATTTATTTTGTTGTAATTGTAAAGGTTATTTTGATTTCTAAGGATATTTTGATATTGATAAATTTTGAAGGGTTTTGGGTAATTAGCAACATCTGTAGAAAACGTGGGAAGAAGCAAGCAAAAATGTAGAAGTATTTAAGATAAATTGCTGAAAGATTGTTTTTAACAGCCTGTTAAATAATCAAGGTAATGGAGAAATATATTTTAAGGAGCAATATGTGCTTTCTATTGATACCAAATTGGTGCTATGCTCTTTAAGGATTGTTACTTTGATCTTGAACATTGAATACTGCAATCTGCAAAGTAGGCAAATTTAGTACATCCCTTTCCGCTTGTACACTTTGTTTAAGTAATGAAATTCAGAAAATCTAAAAGAATCATTGATGATGTAGTCCAAATAGCATAGACTCTTTGTTTGCATTATCTTTTGGGTTTAAAAAAAGTCCTCATAATTTTTTCAGGGATATAATCTCGGCAAGACGTAGCTGCAGAACTGTAGCTCTCCGAAAAAAATATTTTGACAGACTGGAGAGCTACAGTGCAACGGCACCCATGGTAAAAACTGTATATTTATTGCGCACAAAAATTTTTATTTTTGTGCACAATAACTATACAGTTTTTTTTCCATGGGTGGCACTGTAGCTCTCCGGTCTGTCAAAATATTTTTTTGGAGAGCTACAGTTCTGCAGCGAAGCAAGATGTCAAAGGGACTAAAAATTTTGGTCTCCAGGTGTCCCTCAACATCTCAGATCAATGTCGCACAAAACTGATTCGGGCTTTTTTGCCCCAACCCCTTGTTTCAATCAATACAGGCTGAAATGAATTAGCTGCTTACTTCAACTTTTTCCCTTGGACATCCTTTTAAGTCAATCACTATGAAACTTACGTTTCTTACCTTTAAAAGGTTTAAATCCAATAAATTATGAAGTTGTTGATTTTTCATCGAAATATCCCATTCGTTTAAACCTCTGCATGATGCCGAAGAGTTCCACAATAGTCTGCTTCCAATACTTCATACTATAGTTCATTTTCTATATGAAATAGTAGTAGCTGTGATCTCTTACCTCATGTCTACGAAGGACGTACTTGTAACCTATGTAACAGAATACAGGTATCCTTTTTAGGGAAATGAAGAACATACAGAATGCCTGGCACACAGATAGAAATCTTTGAGGTAGGTTCTTTGTTTCAGAAGATATAGGTAAATATAAAACAAAGCAAGTACAATAATATTTATGTATATTTAAACCAATGTACGCTGTAGTCAAGGTTTATCCTTGTGTCACCCAGTGTAATAATTCACTTGACATGTTTACAACAATTGGGACTAAAACAGAAAAAAAGATTTTCATAAAAGTTGTAGCACAAAGGAATTTTTATGGCGTCGGGCTTGCCCGATCGTCATCTAGCGATCAGTCAGGTTTACGCGACCGCACGTGTCAGTGGATGCATCCGCAATAGAAAATAGCAACAGCTGTAAACCAATTTCTTCTAAAACGTTCACAATGAATAATAGCTTGAATATAAAATTAAATCAATTGTATCTTCAATTAATACTACTACAAAACAACGATATTATGTTTAATTTTTACGCAAGAAAAACGTTATGGTTGTTGCGGATGAATTTCTACAGAGAGGGTGCGTCGAATGACATGAATCACATTTTTGGACCGATTAATGTAATACAAACAATCTTAAATACGTTAAAATGATAACAAAATAAACACGAATACAACAAGACTATAAAGATTTAATTTCTTAATCTTAGCTTTACTTTTACGATCTTCAATCCAATTTTATCCCAACAACCGACGATATTGACCAGTGATGCCAGTATTACTGTATTTATCCATTTCCTCCATTTGTTTACTGCGCCCTATCGGAAGTCGATCGTACTTGTAACATTAGAGGCATGGTTGTAATTAAGATGCAATCACTATACAACAGAACAATGCTCTGACAATGGCAATCAATTAAAATAATTTATGAAATCCTTCATATGTCTTTGATTGGCTGAAAAGAAATTAGATTGACATAGAGGATGGACATTTCTGACGATGTCTGGTCAATTCGAACCCTGACTCATTCGGACCAGGACACATGATGGCGATCAGGCCCTATACTGTATTTGTGTTAAGACTATTTTTTTTATTTTATTATTATGTTAACGGAGTCACTCACTTGACCTATCTGCACATCTTTTGAAATTGTTTTTTCTTGTTCGACGCCATTGAAGCCTTTCAGGCTTTTGATTAGTTACATTGTTTTCAGGTTAAGAGGCCAGGATTCAGTTGCACAAACGTTAGTTAAAATAAATCCCAGTTAGTGCGTATCAATATATTTGACACAACCATTATAGTACAATCATGTCTAAATTGAAAGCAGGATTAAATGTGTGAGTTGCTCATGTCAGACAGTTTATATATCTCTGTATAAGTTCTTCCTTCTCTGCAAATAAGTTTTGAAATGATAAGGAATCGGCAATTTTGATTTTAATGTTTAATTAAATATTTAATGTACCTATGTTACCTCAATTCAATCTGTTAGTTAAATCACAAAATTAACTTTAACTGGTAGTTAACTTTTGTGCAACTGATTTAACTAGTCGTTAATTTTAATGTAGAGTTAACGCAAAGTTAATGGCTAGTTAAATTTAACCCCCTTCCCTGCAGTAACGCATTTTAACGCATATATCATGTCCTATTTCTAATGCAAAATCATGTATTTACCATTTCTCCACAATCACACATTTTCATGCACTTTAAAAAGTTCATTCAACCTTAAATTTAATGCCAATTTCCTTCAATTTTATACTTGCTAAAATCTCATAAAATAAGAAAAGTTATTTTCTCATTAAAATATTACGTCATAATATTATTTACGCTAAACTTTAGAGAAACTTGTTCACCATTATAGAGTGCATGCGGGGAAATGGTAAAGTCATATTTCTATGACGTGAACATTAAGTGTATGTTGCATAACAGTTCAGTAAATTGTAAAGAGTTAACAAGCGTTTGTGCAACCGGATCACTACTTATTATATTTTTAATTTTCCAGGTTCGGAATCCAGGGTTGTTTTATGGCAGGGAAGTAAATGATGATGTAGACTCCTCTTCTGAGAGAATTGTATTCCACGGACTGGAGAAGAATCTGAATGAGCAGTTTAATAATCCACAAAGCTGTGGCCTGCCATATCAGCCAGGAAATGTAAGTGTTACATCACAGACAACATAAAATCAGAGAACATCATCAATCAAATCTGATCTGGTAAAGGTTGTAAATTTTGTGTCAATAATTTTTAGAATGAAGTGTGTATTGGAAAAGCTCGAGATAAGTGGTGTAGGGTGAGAGTTGAAGAAATATACAGAAGACAAAGAGGTCATGAGGCCAAGTAAGTACAGAGAGGTCATAAGGTCAAGTAAGTACAGGCAGGTTTGAGCAAAATACAGAGAGTCGCAGAACAAAGTGTGGAGAGGTCGCAATTCCCAAACCAAAGTTGTACAAAAAGACAAAGTAAGTGTTGAGAGGTCACAATGCAAATTAGTGTAGAGTGGTCTGCAAGCAAAATAAATGTACAGACGTCACAAGTCAAAATAAGTATAGATGTGTCATAGGGCAAAATAAATGTAGAGAGATCACAAGTGAAAATAAGAATAGAAAAGTCGCAAGACAAGGTAAGTGTAGAGAGGTCACAAGTCAAAGTAAGTACATGTATAGAGTGGTCACAAGTGAAAGGTAGTGTAGAAAGGCCACAAGTCAAAGGTATATGTAAATGTAGAGAGGTCACAATACACTTAAATTAAGTGATCAACAAGAACATCCTGAGATCTTTGAGTTACTTCTCGACATTTTTATTTGGTCTTTGTTAAGGTTAGAATAATAGCTGCCAAATTAAGGTTATTTTCATTTGTACTGTATTAATTTCATCCTCCATTTATCTGTGTTTGTCTATTTTTAGGTGTTTCCTTCTAGATTTTGGAACTATTGAAATGATTCCCTTCCAGTGGTAAGAGTTAATTTTAATTCTTAAGCTAAAGTGTCTTTTGATACTAGTAATTAAGTGAGTTGGAAATGAACTTGTACAGACCCTAAACCGTGCTACTACACCACTTGCACGGTACGGTTCGGTACGCTTTGCGAACGGAACGGTTCGCTTTGTGAACGGTACGGTACGCTTTGTGCACGGAACGGTTCGCTTTGTGCACGGAACGGTACGCTTTGTGCACGGAACGGTACGCTTTGTGGACGGTACGGTTCGCTTTATGCACGGAACGGTACGCTTTGTGGACGGTACGGTTCGCTTCTTGCACGGAACGGTACGCTTTGTGGACGGTACGGCATGCAAATGAAGTGGGCGGAGCCTGTTAGCTCTGGTCCTTGATTGGCTGCTAAGTTTACAATTTTATTTCCGTTATTAAAGAATGTAATTTATTTATTATTCATATCAATTGAAGTATCAATGAGTTTCTATTTATTAGAGAAGTTTAAATCTTTTATTACATGTATGTTATTGTGTCAATCATAGTCTTGTATGCTATGTCTCGGTTTCAATTTTAGATATTAATTTACACTGCAGCAGTGATGGAGGAAATAAGAAAAAAATGAAAGGAAATAAACATCGTCCCACTGATCTTTTTCGCATTTGTAAATATATTGATATATAGAAGGTAAATATTTCCGTGCGTATTTTTTTACGTATGCCGAGGCTGCGTTATAAATACAGGTATATAATATATTTTTTTTCATTTTAAAATAAAGCTTTAACAGAACTGAATAATTATATACTTGTTCTTTATAAAATACTACACACGTATATAAATTATTTTTAATTGCTTGATCTATAGAAAAAATATTCGCGCTTATATTTTTATTCTTGGTAGTAAGAAATGTACATTGTTTCTTATTTTTAAAATTGTAGATCTATCGTTTAAACGTCTGCCTTAGAAGAGAAATATCAGTAAACAAAAAACAAATTACATGCAATTAATAAAAAAAAAAAAAAGAATATAAAAATAATTTACAGGGCATAGAAGACTTGTTTGTTTGTTTGTTTTTCTTTTTTCTTATGTAAATCTTTAATTATTCTGAAAATCTTTGATTATTCTGAATTTAGATACGAAAATCGGCAGCAGAAACTCGGAATCAATAAAATGACTTCCGGGCGTTTTTCTCGTAACAGAAAACATTTCTTTTCAGAAACTAGCATTATGTTTTCAAAAATCCTTTCAGTCTAAGTAATTATTTTAATCATTTTTTCTTTATTTTAATAAGTAAATAAGTGTGTAAATACATGTACAATGATGTGAGAGAGAGAGAGAGGAAGAGAGAGAGAGAGATGCAACCCCTTGTTCCTTAATCTGTAAAAAAAATGTATTTATTCTCATTCTCCGTTTTATTTACATCGCCAAAGTCACATTTAATCTGTCTATGATGCTATTTAATTTCCACAACTTTCGCTCAAACTCAACCTATTTACAACTATTGCGCAATGCATTCGTTTTCTGCACATGCACGAAATCCTTTTGCATCAATAGTCAGTCAAAATCGCATGACGCTAGGTGACCCTGAGAGTCTCTTTACGCGAAAAGAATTTCTCTTGTGATTTGAAACATTCTTATGGTCAGTTCACACCTGTTTAAAAAATATTGGGTCACAGCCAGAGGGCCGGGGTGCCGTGTGTTTAACACACCTTTCAAATTATTTAGCTCTGACCACATCAAGTGTACATGCGTTTTTAAAACTCACTCAAATGACATCCAGCGAAACTCATCTTCCAGGTTTCACCACAACACCGATTAGAAATTCTTTTCTTAAAATATCCATTTCAGACGCAATTAGATAACCATGAATCCCTTAATTATCATTTTACTTTTTACAAAAAAAAATGTACAATAGCGTCACATAAATTCGCAGACTTTTGATGAGTTTTAGTAGCTGATTAGTATCGCCTTCTAGAAGGGGGGGGGGGGGTTATCAAACATAATGTGGCTTGAAAGAGGATTGAGAAAAATCATTGTCTTTTTTATTTTCATTTTATTTTGTAAATTATCCTTTTCCAGACACAAATAATCAGGTGTCCTGTAGATTACCGGGGTATGATTTTTTTTTAAATTGACAACAACGTAACATTTTGCACACTTCTAAAGAACTTATAACCTGCTAATTCGTATCGTTTTCACGAAAGGGGATGGGGGTACAGTGTAACAAACCTTATAATATCTATAATTTTTTGCAAATTGTTTTTTTTTTGTATGCAGCTTGTAAGTTGATCACAATTTTATTAGTCAGATTATCATCTCTATCCGTTCAGGAGAAATCTTCCTGTTTACTGCGTGTAATATTTTAATTCATATTTGACATAATTACCGATTTTCAGTGTAAGTCTAACTGCATCAATGATTCGCCGAGTAATTATCTGTGCAGAATTAATGTGCAAGTCTAATACGTTTTTTTTTTACTCCAGACAGTTCATATATGTTTTAAAATTCTTACAAAATTAATGATTAATTAGTAAAATCACGCATCTGATATGAACTACATATGAATGCACACTTACGGCAAAAAGGATCACGTATCTGATTCAATAATTTAAATGGGCAAAATTAAAATATTAAGTCAAGAAAACCAGGGAATTAGTTTAAACATCTGTACAGTTTAATTACGAATATTTAAGTACAACAAATATTTCAAAAAGAAGTTGATTTAATTTGCTCAAATAAAGAAAATGAAAATATTTATTATCAGATCCGTAATGGGGAACTGTGATACACCTTGTTACATGGTGTCCACGATCGCTGACATCAAGGATGCCGACATTGAGTTCGAGGTTCACGGTGCCACGTGTTTTGCAGGAAAAACCCGTGGTCTGTACTGTACCTTTGATCACAAACACAACGAGTTGATCTAATTTATAGCATATAAGGAATCGTCTCAAACTCTGTCTAGTTGTTTTAAAGTTGTTTATTTCGAGTAGTTTCCTTTATTTTCACAGTTGTAAGCTCAGATGCATGATACTTGATGATGTTTCGAACAGCCAGACACAAACTCCCTCCTCTTTTCACGGGCGCTATTGCGAAAAATAAACCAAAAATGACTTATTTGGTCATTACACAGTTAAAAAATAATTGGGGGCGTGGTTTGCATAATTAACCAGAGAACGGTACGGTTCGTTTCTTGCACGGAACGGTACGCTTTGTGGACGGTACGGTACGCTTTGTGCACGGAACGGTTCGTTTTGTGGACGGTACGGTACGCTTTGAGCACGGAACGGTTCGCTTTGTGGACGGTACGGTACGCTTTGTGAACGGAACGGTTCGCTTTGTGCACGGAACAGTTCGCTTTGTTCACGGTACGGTACGCTTTGTGCACGGAACGGTACGGTTCGTTTCTGAGGTGTAGTAGCACGGTTTAGGGTCTGTATCTTTTCTGTAATGGTTGCTAATTGACCATCTATTTCTTTCTGTTAAGATTGCGGAGAGCTATTTGACCTACTTTTTTCTGTTAAGGTTGCGGAGAGCTAATTGACCTGTTTGTTTTCTCTGTTAAGGTTGTGGAGAGCTAATTAATGTTCTATTTTTGTCTGTTAAGGTTGCGTAGAGCTAATCCGAGCCATCTATCCGTGCCTTACCAGGTGAAGTGTTACAGTCTGTATGGTATACAGGCCCAGACCATGGCCCTACAGGAGGATCTGTCCTGTCACATGGAGTGAGTTACAGCGGGGATATCACTTAGGGGGTTCAAAAATTACTGCAAGGATATCACTCATCCTAAGGGCTTCCACAAATACAGCAGGGATATCTCTCTTCAAGGGTTCCATAAAATACCACAGGGATATCCCTCATCTTAGGGGGGTCCACAAATACAACAGAGATATTCCTTACCTTAAGAGATTCTATAATAACAGTGGGGATATCCCTGGTCTTTGGGATATCCCTCATCTTAAGGGATTCCACAAAATTGGAAGTAAAGTTATAAATTGTTAGTGTATGTGTGTTAAGATTAGAGTATAAACCTTTTATTTTCAGGCCTTGTGTAGCATGGGATGAATCAGCAACAGAATACATGAGGAAGTGCCTTCAAAGTAAATCATTTCTCACTAACTCTGTGATATTAAATCATTTAAAGAGTTTGAAGGTTTGAAACCTGTCTTGTATGATGTTTTTAGTAGAATTTTTATACCCCCCGCAAACGAAGTTTGGGGGGGTATATAGGAATCACCTTGTCCGTCTGTCCGTCTGTCTAGCTGTCCGTCTGTCCCAGACCTGTTTACTCTTACGATTTCGCCGTATTTTTTCCGGATTTTTAGTCTAAAATACGTCTTACGTTTTGCCAATATGAAAATACGGAAATCAGAAATGTTAGTTTGGAATTTAACAGTTAGTTTTCGTTATGATCTGTCATCGTTTACTCTTTTGAATCGCTAAAAAAGAGAAAGATTTCAAACACATAGGTGATATCAGGTTACCAAAACGCTGTGGTATTATAAAATGACAAAGTCCTTGTTGTTAAACCATGTTTTTGTAAAGCAGTTTTTCTCTTTTAATATTTGTAAAATTGAAGGAAAATGAAATCTTACTGGCAAATGCCAAATTTCACGGACAAATCTAAAGAAAAATACTGAGAGACAACGCTATGGGTAAACAGGTCTGCTGTCCGTCCGTCCGTCTGTCCGTCTGTCCGTCTGTCTGTGCATTCGTGTCCGGTCCATATCTTTCTTACAGAGGGACATTAGAATCTACTACTCCACAATAAGATTGCTCATGACCTAAGGGTGTGTCATGACCTTGACCCAAGGTCATTCGGGAAAGTTCAAGGTCACTGGAAGAAAAATTTCATAATTCGTGTCCGGTCCATATCTTTCATATGGATAAACTTGGTAGGTTCTCATTTCACACAAAGATTGCCCATGACCCAAGGGTGTTTCATGACCTTGAACCAAGGTCATTTGGGAAAGTTCAAGGTCACTGGAAGAAAATTTTCATAAATCATGTTTGATACATATCTTTTATAGATAAACTTGGTAGGTTCTCATTTCACACAAAGATTGCCTATGACCCAAGGGTGTGTCATGACCTTCACCCAAGGTCATTTGGGAATGTTCAAGGTCACTGGAAGAAAATTTTATATATACCCTGTCCGGTCCATAAATTTTTTATGGATAAACTTGGTAGGTTCTCATTTCACACAAAGATTGCCCATGACCCAAGGGTGTGTCATGACCTTGACCCAAGGTCATTCGGGGAAGTTCAAGGTCACTGGTAGAAAAATTTCATAATTTGTGTTCAGTCCATATCTTTCTTATGCATAAACTTGGTAGGTTCTCATTTCACACAAAGATTGCCCATGACCCAAGGGTGTGTCATGACCTTGATGTGTGAAGTTCAAGGTCACTGGTAGAAAAATTTCATAATTCGTGTCCGGTCCATATCTTTCTTATGCATAAACTTGGTAGGTTCTCATTTCACACAAAGATTGCCCATGACCCAAGGGTGTGTCATGACCTTGACCCAAGGTCATTTGGGGAAGTTCAAGGTCACTGGAAGAAAAATTTCATAATTTGTGTCCAGTCCATATCTTTCTTATGGATAAACTTGGTAGGTTCTCATTTCACTGAAAGATTGCCCATGACCCAAGGGTGTGTCATGACCTTGACCCAAGGTTATTTGGGGAAGTTCAAGGTCACTGGAATAAAAATTTCATAATTTGTTTTTGATACATATCTTTATTATTGAAAAACTTACTTCTGAAAAACCCAGCGGGGGGTATTTTGTCCCGTTTGGACAGTTCTAGTTCTGATCTAGTGAAACAGATTGATTTAGTCTGTTTTCAAGAATGAATTTTTCTTTTAGACACAACACAATATTATGTTGATGTGAAGAATGCAGACGTGAACAAAGTTGAAGTGATACTGTACATCAAACGAAGGAATGGAGAAGTGTGTTTTAATGACGAGCTTGTGAGAAATAATTACGCTGTCAGGAAAAATGCAGAAGGTGAAAATTTGATTAATTAAACTTTATATTATTTCTGGGTCATCTTAGCATGATGTAGTTGAGCTTATCTATAGTACATCATGTTGTATTGAGAAATGCCTGTCTTCTTATTGAATTAAAAATGTTAAGAGGATAAGCCCAGTCCTTCCGGATGGTCAATGTTATTAATCATGTTAGTGAAGGATATTTATTATTAAATAGTGCCAGAAAACAAAGTAAACAAAATATGTTTCCTGTAACTAATACTTTGCCATTTAGTGTCCTGTTCATTAGACATAAAAGATTACTGATAATCTTGTAATTACCCACTTCCTCATATCAGCTCTTAGGGATTAAGATGATGGTGTATATACAAATTACTATTTCAGATGTCCAAAATGTTATTACACCACCAAACAATACAAACAGATCTCAACCATTAACAATAGAGGCTGAGTTAAACAGGCTTCAGCTGAAGAAATCTAAAGTGAAATCTAAAATGACTCCTACTTCTAGTGATAGTGAGGCTGCTTCAGTTATCTCAGAGCCACAGACTACAAGTCCAGCTCACAGGACTGACTCCGAGTCCTCTAAATCGGGGAGTACACTCGAGAACCCGAGACCAGGGCTAGGTCGGGGCTTCTCACTCGGCCAGACACTCAGGGAATGGAAAGGGAAGAGTAAAACGGAGAGTTCAAAAGACACGGAGTCCTCAGTGAGAAAAGACTCAAACTCATCAGGTAAAATGTCAGCAGGGAGAAATAGTGGAGGCAGTTCCAACAGTGTGTCAACTGAGCCTCAGGACTCTCACATGTTGTCGTTTGTTCACCGGCATCAGAAACCTAGATCAACTACGGAACAGAAATTTAAAATGGCTATAGGCCGGAAACAGGGTAGCTCTCAATCCCTCAGTTCAGGCGAGGGTAGTGTTATGTCTGCGCCGTCTATAAAATCTCTTCACACCCCAATGAATGGCATGCTGGGAAGGTTGATGAGCAGTTTAATAGCTCAGCCTTCCACTAACCCTCGGCCGTCCGCTAACCCTCAGCCTAGTGTATCTGACTCGGAATTGCTCAAATCAACACCATCTAATGACGTCCATAGATCTGTTCATACAGAGGGATCCTCCTCAGAAAGTGTTCAGAAAAACCTCCGGACTTTTACCCCTTCCTCCTTACAAAAATTACAGCAATCTGCAGAGGAACCCCCATTTGTAAATACCTCATCCGATTCTATGAATTGTAACAAGAATGTCACAGTGCCAAACAGAACTGATGCAGAAAATCAAAACATAGGGCCATCATTATCAGGAGAAGTAGTCAATTCACCGAGTGAAATGTCATCAGGTGAAAACGTTAGACAAGCAGAAACCTCATCAACCACAAATATCAGAGACCAAATAAAAGATCTGTAAGTATTGTAATAGTACTTCCCATGCTTATCAATATTTCATCTTTTGCTAGTACTTCAAAATCTGACTTCAAACTTACATATGCATATACATCTCATTGATTCTACAGCAGGAGTGTTGATGCCAGGGAAGATTTAGATCGTAGGACCGACATGATGAGCAAAATGCAGGGGGACAGGTAAACAACTCTGTATGCTTTATATCTGTTAATGTTAAACATATACATGTACATACTTAATGATATGAAATGGTATGGAAGCTGAAAGTGTATGTTATCTTTGATCCATCAAAAATCCATTTCTTAAAAAAAATGTATAAATGTTTAAAACTTTCGTAATAATAAAATAAATATTTTTTATCTGAATTTCAGAATAATGGCAAACTTATCTGGTGGTGCTAAACCAATGGCTGTAAGTTTATAAATGATATCTAAAAGTAAAAATAATGAATTCTAAAAATAAAAAGAGATTTTTCTAGTTATTCAATGTGCAAATTTTGTATGTTGTTTAAGTAGGAAAAAACCTACATTAATCGGAAGTAGATTCATTATTAATTGATTTCTATTTTTATTTCTGATGTTCATTGGATTTATATTAGGTAAGCTTAAAGCCCGAGATAATAAGCACCGCCTTCAGATTTACCTGGTCTGTATCCCCCTGTCAATCAAATAAATTAAGGTCCATCATTGGGTACGTGAAACTGATTGACATTTGGCTACTAGTCCCTGTGTATATCTCTTTCACCTTGTTTGACACGCGTGGCCACCATCAAATTAACTTTCGGTCTTCTGATGTTTAGCGCTAAATTACCATCTCAATGAGGAAGCCATTTCGGTGCAAACAATTTCAGCTTGATTATAATTGATTAATTATCTGTATTACAAATATGTCATTAAAAAATAATTTTTTATCTCATTGTATTTCAATAAAATAAATCACGATTGTGTATATTTTTACTAGTGAAAATTGCATAGGCGAATGAAATATTGTTTTCAGTCGTAAAAATTAAGAATGATTTTTGTTGTGAGACACGGCGAAAAATTACGATGAAAATAAAGGAGAAAATAAGCTGGTAACACAATGGATAACTAAGGATAAAACAAAATATCTTATAAGTAACAACTTCGCTTGGACAAGTATTAAAGAATTAAAAGTTTCTTTCTTTTCTTTTCCTTTTTATAACCGAGCATTTCTTGCTTCGTGGGTTGTTACCTTCTTTCAAGGTCACAGCTGTTAAAAATAGTTTAGAAAGATATGTTAGCAATAAATTAATATTTTGTTTTAAGTTGTTTAGTCTGATCTAAATTTACTTAAAATACACTCATACTTTTATGTAATTTTAACTTTACAAAACCATCGTTATCATCGCAATTTTTTCACAATAGGATACAGAATGTACATTTGCTAAAAATAGGACCACGCGACTTTTTATACAAACGGCAAGTAACTGTTACTATTTGATCATGATCGAAGCTCTAATTAATTGTTACTATATTTACGATAATTAATTATGAATAGTTTTTAAGATTTTGAAAGGGATAGACAAGGATGAGTATTTTTTTTTACAACGAACTCAAGTCGTAACTGCTGTACATGTGACGTACAACAAACCGTAGATTTTTTTTTTTTTTTTTTACAAAAGTTGGCCTGCGAGATTTCTGCTTGTAAGTCTGAAATTACGAAATTTTACAATTATCATTAATTATTATTGAAATTTTTTATTTACGATGTCAAATTCTACTAATTTTATGATGAACAGTAGGCCACCAAGCTGTACAGGTAATACCCATGGACTTCCTGTGTATACTGTTTGTGTATAGGCATTAGCGCTTCCCACGGTCTGCACGACCGTCAATGTCTCGGGGTGCCACGCGTGTAAAATTTAGTCCCTCCCCTTACCTGAGAAAACCGTACGGTTAAAAATCTCGGCCTTTAAGGGAGAAATGTTTCAGGATTTTTCTTTTGCAGTTAATGTTTGGGAGAAATCATGTCAGAATTCTTTCTTTTTGTAGACCAGTACATCAGCTGTATCTAGGAAATTCTCCGACAGTGTTCTGGTGCATAGCGTAAAGAAAGTAACCCCTTATCTCAACTTTGATGACGTTCCTCTGGTCCCAGAGCTGAAGGAGGTAGGATTGTTGATGACTTCAGTTAACTGAGTGTCTGCAGGCACTGTGTGTAACATGCCAACATGCAGTAAAGTTCTTAAATTTTTCATAATTGATTACATTGATTTTTCTAACACCATTGTGAAGCTTTAAATCAGTGCAGCTCCTGTATAAATGCGAGTGTAAGCATACATTTGATTTACAAAAAGATAAAGAGAAAAAGCAAGCACGAATTAAAGTCTTAATGATATTATCCATAACAAAGAAGTGCATTTGTAGAAGTAATATATTTATAGAAACTGAAGTCACCAGTTGTTTTTTTCTCTCTCCAGATTCTGAAGAGCTTTGAGTTTCCTGCTCCGATGTTTATCCAGGCCTATGGCTGGCCGGCAATTTTAAAGTTGAACCACGTTGTAGGAGTATCCCCCGTTAATACGGGGAAGACCTTCACCTACCTGTGTCCTCTCCTGAGTGAGCTTCTCCACCCTCTGTCTTATAAAGAGCTGGCCATCGGCAACGGGGTAAGGAAAGACACGCAATATATGTAGTAGGATTGTAGCATAGCATATTGGGAGGGTTTGACCACTACCGGTAATTTTTAGCTCTTCAACCATAATTGTTTTGGGTGTTTTCATAAATAAGGATAAAATACATAACATGAAAAAAACATGAAAAAATTGTTTTTGAAAAGTTTTAATTTAGTTCAAGTTGTTTTTTAAAACTGTGGAAGTTGGGGGTGAAAGGGGAGATGCATATGGAAACAAGATGTGTTTGTGGAACACTGAATGACGATAGGGATGAATGACCATATATGTATGGATGATATGGTCTAAGACCGTCTCTATGTTTTTTTTGTAGCCCCTTGCGTTAGTACTGGTGTCCTCGTGGAAGAAGGCCCAGTCTGTGTATGATGTCACAACCGGACTCCTGAGGGATCACAGTCGACCCCGCCCACTGGTCATCTACGGAGGAGGATGTGAACACAATCAATACGTAAGTCTGCCTGATTGTCTGCTAGTAATCATCATTGATATACAGAAATGTTTAGCAGAATTAACTTGTTAGAGATACCAAAGGTGCTGTTCAAATCAAGACATTTCTTCTTTTCATTATCAGGTTCCATTGATGAATGGTTGTGAGATTTTGATTGCCACACCTCCTTGTCTTGTCCGCATGATCAATCGCAGATACACAGATCTCCAGCGACTCTGTCACCTGGTCAGTAACCGTCCAATCAGAATCACTCACACAGAAGTCATTGGGAATTGGTTTTACAAATGTTGGTACATTCAGTATGATAAAGCACTTAATACATGTAACGTCTTTACAGGTTGTGGATGATGCTGATTTACTGCTGAGGGAATACTCCAAGGAGGTAAAGATAACCAATCATTATCTTTATCGTTAGTTTATGTTTGTGAACATTATCTACATTGATAGGACCTTGTTTGCCCAATGATGAAAATCACTCTATGAGACAAAAAAAGCATGAGCCTGTGACACGGTGCATTGGGAAATATATGGTTATAATTAAAATTTTCTATGAAATGTTTTCTTTGTTCAAGTTTTCCATCATTTTGATGTAATTAATGTCAATACCCTATATCTCCTGCCTGTACGATGTCCAGTGTTAATGCCTGTCTGTGATGGTGATTATGAGAGCTGAGGGCATGACTACAAGGACTGCCTATTTTAAGTGATGAAATTAACATCAGCTATAACTTCATTGGAAATATCAATAGACTTTGATTGGTCTGTGATTTGATGGTGTTTTATTGATCTGTGTTAGTACTTGATCAGTGTATGTTGTTTCTATGATAGTGTTTGATTGGTCTGTGTTAAGAGTCTGATTTATCAATGATGTTTATTTGACGGAGTTTGATTGGTTTGGCTGATGTTTTCTCAGGTTCAGGAAATCATGGATTCGTTTGCTGAGGCCCGCAAAGAGAACATCCATAAGGCGGTGCCCTATCAGATCATCACCATGGGTACCCAGTGGACGCCCGCGGTCCACAGCTTCACCCAGGCGTACATGCCAGACCCCTCCATTATCATAACATCAAGATTTGAGGCGGCTATTTATGGAAAAGTCGTACAGGTACAAAAATGTGAATTTCTTAGAATCAGATAGAGATTCAAGTTAACTAAACCGAAAAAAGCTTAATTTGTTCTTTTAACAGCTTTCTATTGTATACATGATCAAACTATATTTGTATTTATAGCATGTTGAAATGTGCCCCAGTTCTCAGAGATGTACCAGACTTTTAGAAGTTTTAGATACCATCTTAAGCAATGGCGTGAAGGTCGTCATATTCACAACCACGGTCAATGATGTATATTTCCTGATCAAGGTAAGCCGCAGGGTCAGGGATTAGATCCTGTTTATTTTCTCTCTTATGAAAAACATCATAAACATTATATATATATCCATCTATCCACACATTTCATTTAATATGAGCTTTTATCGCTTAATCACTATTGTATGATGTTTACTGACTGTCTTATTCCAGCTGCTGAAAAGTCATTCCCTGTGCTGCCTGAAAATCCACCACCAGATGGAGAGCTATGAGCTTGAAATGGCTGTCCATGACTGGAAGTCGGGCTCAGAGAAGGATGGTCCTAAACTTCTAGGTAAGCCAGTAATTAAAAGGTCACAGGTGTTACAAGATCAAACATTACGGATCAGCAGGGGATGCTGACTCCTCTCTGGCACCTGATCTCACCTCTGATGATTTAGTGGTCCTTGTTTGCTCTGCTCCTATTTTGTATTGTTTAGTGGACTTTTAAGCTTGAATACTGTTCATTATCTCTATATATTTCTGCTATTAAAAATTCTCCATTTATTATATCTTCTGAAGAAACAGGTGACTTTAAATTAATATTCATGAATATACATCATCTGGAAAGTAAAAAATACGATTGTGTTTTTCAGTGTGTACAGACGAGTGTATCAATGATATAATGATAGACGATGCTAACGCTGTGATACATTACGACATGCCGGCGGAGTCTAAGTCCAGGTTTGGGAATCGTCTCTTGTGTCTGAGGAAGTACTACGCTCAGTACACAGGACTGGAGGAGGTATTGTACAACAGCAGGGTCATTCTCTGTTTTTAACACAAATAAAAATAGGTCATTACCTGTGTGACACCTGTTAATGTTATGTTTATTTGTGTAGGAGGAGAGAGGACAGAATGTTACACCTGTATCTTTTATCCTGCTGACTGAACAGAGTACGGGTCAGGCTCGCTCGGTCCGAGATCTACTGAGACGACTCAAACTCCCTATACCTAGGGAGCTCACAGCCCTCCTAGCTGGCATGAAACAGGTATTCCTCTTCCTCTTTAACATCCTAGTGAGAACAATAGCAGTTTGGTCAATAAGCAAGTTATCTAGACTGCAATATTTAATTAAATGAATTCAAAACCGTGTCTCTTAAAATTCAGTACACAGTACTGTAAAATCACATATTTTCGTGGGGTCAAATTTTTATGGTTTGAGGAAAATCTCTTGGTTTGTGGGGATTTGATTTCATGGATCAAGAATTAATGGGTACTTATGTATGTAACATTTTATATTTTGTGGTGGACATGAATTTGTGGGTCTCATCATACCGCGAAAATCCACGAAAATTAAACCCCCACAAAAATTTGTGATTTCACAGAAATTAAATCGCCAGTCCAGATTATTTTTGCCAAGTAGGTGAAAGGTCAGATGGTCTGAATTTTTTTTGTTTTATGGAGAATAGTGCACATACTAAACAGCATAAAATTATATCTCTAAAATGTCAAATGAGATTTCAATATTGGCACATTGAACTACTTTGAAAAGTACGTTGTATGTCAAATATCAAGTTCAAGGGTCACAAGGTCATTGATCATGGTTATTAAGAAAAGCCAAAGCCTGAACAATATATATGTATGTGCAAAATATCAAATCCATACCTTTGACAGTTCTCAAGATATAGGTTGTGACAGAAAGACAGATGTTGGGTTAATTCCTCCCTTAGTGAAGCACTGCTCTGTGAGTGACACATCAATAAAATAGATGAAGTCCGTAGGGCATTTTCTGTATCGATTTCTACATTTCCTGGACATTTACAGTTTTCATAGTTTTTCACAAAGTTGGATAATATTAATTCATGTTCAACAGAAGGTGTGTTTGTAACTTGACATTTATTATACCCCCGCAAACGAAGTTTAGGGGGGTATATTGGAATCACCATGTCCATCTGTCCGTCTGTCTGTCGACAAGATTTTGTCCGGACCGTTTCTCAGAAACTATTGGATGGATTTGTCTGAAAATTTATACACTTATTATTCACCATATGAAGGTGTGCACCTGGGATTTTCATCATGATTGGATGATTTTTCTGCATTTTACAGGCATTTTTTCTTTTTTCTTTTGTGATTTTGTTTGGCTCATAACTAGAAAACTATTAGACTTACAATCATCAAACTTGGACAATTTATGCATCTTGGGTAGACGGTGTGTCACGACCTATTTCAAGGTCACTGTGACCTTTAATTTAAGTGATTTTTTAAAAAAAAAAACAGTCTTTAAAATTTTAAATTTCATAATCCTAAAAAATGTTAAAATTAGGGATGTCAAATCAGTCAATTTTTAATACTCGGTTACTCGGACGTTTTTCCGATCGAGTACCCGGGTACTTGGTAAAAGTGTAAATAAATATGAACAAGTAAATTGATGAATGTAAAACATTGTAAACACTTGTAGAAATAAAACCACATGCTCTGATAGGAGGTTACTTCGTGCCCGACGAAATTTAATACAACATTTATTTAAGTTCAATTTATTTATCAGATAAACACAAGAAATAAAATCGTAAGTGGTTCATGGTGTTTTTGTTAAAAAAAAAATCTACTCCGTAATTGTAATGTAACTCTTTGTTGCATTTGACGTCAAGGTACATTGTATATATCACTCGTACAGTTTGACTTGAACTTGACCAAGTTCTAACAGAGCCGATTTACGATTTTCGTATACTTTTCGATCCTAGATTTTATAGTATCACGGGACGGTATTTTGTAGTTTGGTGCAATGATGGACATCATTTTTTAAGCCTTTGCCGTCAACTATTTGTACATGTATTGGCATGTAATGAAACACAACCATATCAACAGTTGCCCGTGTAATATCATTTGTCTCTATTCCCGAGAAATTACGGCTTCTCGGAGATTTGACAAAATTATCTAATTTATTTAATTATAACAGACCTTAAAAGATGTTCAGTGAAAACAAATAGTTAAAGAAAATCAAAAAATAAGGGTAGAAGACAGCCGAAGGTGAGAAAAGTCTGGTAACAGGTGCTTGGTCACGATAATTACTGTATAAACACTGCCACAGGCGATAACGGTCATTTAGAGGAGTAGGAAACCCTAATTACTGTATGTACAAGTGCAATGAGTATTTTACCTTTTAAAACAGATTGTTTAATTCATTAATAAATAAGCTTAGAAATATTCAAAAATATACATCCGAGTAACCGAGTACCGATTTTAGTATTCGATACTCGGACGTTCGATCGAGTACCCGGTTAACCGGGTACTCGTTGACATCCCTAGTTAAAATATAGTTGTATCCTTATTACAAAATGCTAAATGAAGTAAAAACTTACTTTTTCATCATATACTTTACAGCAGATTCTGTAACAAATGTTAATGATTTGAGAGGAATTCAGTTTGTCCCATGGGCATAATTATCAAGCACTGGTCAAGGAGAATTTTTGATAGCAGAAATGTGCATGTCAAATTAGAGAGAATAAATGAGTTCATTGTCAGGAGTTAACTGGCAAGAGCATCTCTAGATCTGATCTGATGCAGTGTAATCTTAATTTATCTCTTGGGAGTTGGGCAAAAAGAAATGGCCTTAGGCCAAAAAAAATTAATTAATTGTTTCTCAGGCCAAAAAATTCAAAATTCAATGCGGCAGGCAGGCTTTTTTTTTTTTTTTTTTTTTTTTTGGGAAGCAGGTTTTACACCTGTTTTTGCAAGTCATTTGTGCAGTAAAATGATAATATCTACTAATTCTTAAGTTTTGTTCTCTGAAATTAGTTATAATATGTATTCAAATTTAAATAATGTTATTCCAAACATTTATTTAAAAGTTAACTCATAAAATACTTTAGATTTAGAGGAAATACATTGTTTTTCTAATAAAAACGTCTTTCTTTGCATTTATGAAAAGGGGAATAACTTTTCTTTTTCAACTTGGAAAAATAGAAAATTGAGTTATTTCCCTTTCCAATATGTCAATAAAATTGATCAATGCGGCCTTTTTTGAACTGATGCGGCGGTGCCTGAGAAACTATTGGTTAATTTTTTTTGGCCTTATAGTTGCTTGTGTTAATTAAGAGTTCTTGATGGCTGTAGTTCAGATAAAGATCTTTCAATTGGTGTAATGTAATTAAAACAGATTGATGTTTTAGTGTATGGTTGAAACTGAATTAGTATTGTATAATATAATTAAAATTAATTATACATGTGTTCATTGAAAAAAAAAAATTACATTTCAATTTTTATATATTTGCAACAAATTGCAGTCATGTCTCACTTAGAATTTTATAGTCTAAAGAATAATTAATTTTTGATTTTTGTTTATTAGACTGTAGCATTTCTATTATTTCATAAAATATGCAATAAACAATTTAAAGCTGCAGATGGATATTTGTTAAGCTCTAACACAGCCAGTTTAATTAGAATTATATATGATGTATTATTTGTTTTAATTAATCCCTACACTGTAAGTCTTTTAGAGATGTATGTACAATATTTTAAACATAATAAGAAATGGAAATTAGATCATTGAAATCTGTGTCAATCTGTTAATCAAGGTTACTTGATTTTCTTGCACCCTAACCAATTTATGATTATTGAACAATATTTGATGGGCGTATCATGCTGTGGCGGGGCACTTTATTAGACAATAGTGAACACCTCTTACTAGATCCATAAAATATTTCTGAATTGGCACCTACTCTGAAAAACCCAGCGGGGGTATTTGTCCCTATTGGACAGTTCTAGTTTTTTATTTGCAGCAACAAGAAGAAGACAAGGAGAAGGGTCTGTGTAGTTACCTCAAGGCTTATGGATCTTGTAGGTCAGTATCCTACTTCAACTAAAATTGGTTCTGTGTATTTCAAGATAGGGAGGAGATCATAGAATTTTAAATTGAAAATTCAAAAAGTGATATTATAATTGCTTTACAAATATTGGTGTTTACTAAAGTATTGTCATTGAATTCCTGAAATTGTGCATGTAATAATGCTACAGAAAAATACTGACCCTATAATAGTTCTGATAAGTGAGTGGAGTTGTTAGCTCAATTGGTAGAACACTGGACTCTCATGTCAGAGGCCCCCGGTTCAATCCTCGATAGAGGCGATACATTTTTCAGATAAAAGACGTAGTTCAGTCTTTAGGGTTTGCCCAATGATGAAAACTAAAGAATGAGACAAAGACCAAGGGCTGTGAGAACTAATGATGGAAAATATATGTGAAGTCATTTAAACCAAATCTCTTGTAATAAATGTTTCTAATTAAAAAGAATTAAAAAAGTTACTTCCATAAATCTTCCAGCCTGCTGGTCTCCAGCATTGAGGTCAGTCTATGATGGTGATTATGAGAGCTGAGGGCAAATTATATACTTATTTTAACTACAAAGAGAAAGTTTATTTCATTTTTATTTCTTTCATTCTGCCCAACTTTTTACATGTACATCTTGTGAAAAAAGAAAAGAATTTCTTTTATCACTTGATTCCCATTGACAGGTTTCAGACCAGGTGTCCCAATCGACACATTATCTTACCTGATGTAGACAAGCCCTGCTGTGACCTTTTGACCTCAGGTGAAATCAAGGTAAGGAAACGGATTATTTTTAGCTTCAGGTAACTTTAAGAATTTTTTTATATTTCTATATCTGAAAAGCTTTGAACTTTTCTCGTGTATCTATTTAGTTGTCCATATAAGATAATAAAATATTACATTGCTTTTGATTCAGATTCGTGTCACCGACGTCGTGAATGCCTCCTGTTACTATGCTCGAGTGTTAGAGCATCGAGAACGAGACGGACCATTCTCTGACCTTTCCAGCACCGCTCTGTCCATTACGTTTGAGATAGAAAACTGGTTCTCTTCAGAAAGTAATCGTGTCAGGCTTGGTATGAAAATTAATTTTATGTAGTATGTTAGTAAACTGGTTCGTAAAATGAAACTCATTTTATCAGTTATGTTTAGATTATGATAGATCAGAAAAATATATGGAAAGGAAAACATCTTTTAAAACATTGACTTTGTATTATTAAGGTCTTCCGTTTCCAACGGAAGACCTTCTACTGATTCTGTTGGATTCTGTTGGAAGATTATTAAGGTCTTCCGTTTCTAACGGAAGACCTTCTACTGATTCTGTTGGTCAAGATTATTATTCTTTTTTTTCTTCTGCTTCCTAGACCGCAACTTTGAGGCCTCATATCTCGCTCATTTCTCAACGGATTTCGCTCAAATTTTCAGACGTTATAGACGTTAATAAACTCTATCAGAATGATGTCTAAAATTTCAAAAAGCCACTTCCGGTTTTGAGTTATTTCCCTTTAAAGGAAAATTTATAGGCTTTCGTTTCCAGACAAAGGCTCAGAGATGGCTAAAGCTGGAGCAGAATTTCTACTGATTTTAGATAATAGAAGGATTGAAGTTGTGCACATCGGTTTTTGTTTTTCGGTTTCTGTATTCAAAATGGCGCTATATAGGGGTCAAAAATTAGAACGCTTAAAAGAACCAAAAATTACTCATATTTTTCTTTTTATCTTCTAAACTAAAAATATTTTGTTAAAATATATAGAACACAATTTGTGCAGAATTAAAAGATCTTTCAAATGATATGTCGGTTTTTGAAAAAGGGCTGACCCCTAAATTAAGGGACCTAGAGGGGCCAAAATTTTTTTGGCACACAAGATACACTAAGATACAAAAAGTATTGAGAATTTGTTATGCATCAAAGAAGCAAAGTTGTTCAAAATATCAAGCTTTATCTACAAAGGGGGTCGCACACAAGTGACTACACTAAGATACGACGTCACATCCGTGTTGCCGTGGTTACTAAAAGTAGAAATTTCTGTGAAAATGCATATTTTTGCCGTTTTTGACAGGTTTTGGGGTAACATGTCTCACTAGAAGCTTAAATATTAATTTTCCGTCCGTCGTCGTCACTTCTGGTCAAACCGGAAGTACCAAAGAATGGCTTAATTTTGCTATACTTAACATAGATTTGGAGGATTAACCAATTTTTAGACTTCATTACTCTTTTTTTTAAAATAAAAGTTACTTCCGGTCAAACAAGACGGAAGACCTACTCGTTGCTTTGCAACGAGCTCGGCTCTAGTTATTCTTTTTTTTTTCTTCTACTTCCTAGACGCCAACTTTGAGGCCTCATATCTCACTTATTTATCAACGGATTTGGCTAAAATTTCCAGACATTATAGACATTATTAAACTCTATCAGAATGTTATCTAACATTTCAAAAATTCACTTCCGCTTTTGAGTTATTTCCCTTTAAACGAAAATTTATAAGCTTTCGTTTCCGGATAAAGGCTCAGAGACCACAAAAGCTGGAGCAGAATTTTTACTGATTTTAGGTAACAGAAGGATTGAAGTTGTGCACATCAGTTTTTGTTTTTCGATTTCTGTATTCACAATGGCGCTTTATAGGGGTCAAAAATTAGAATGCCTAAAAGAGCGAAAATTTACACATATTTTCCTTTTTATCTTGAAAACTAAAAATATTTTGTTAAGACATAATGAACAAAAGTTGTGCATAATTGCAAGGGCTTTCATATAATAATATTCACAAGGGGCTGGCCCCTATAATTAGGGATATGTCATTTTTTAGCTTCTTAAGGACCTTGAAAGGTTTTGCTTTATAACTCAAAAACGGTAAATATTACGAAATGACTATCGATTATAAAGTTGTGCTTTAACATCTTACTGATCTCATGATATTGTTATTATGTTCGAGTCTTGTTTTAAATGAGCTGGTGCATGACCTATATATGCACAGGTAATTCTTTTCACTCAGCTCGTAAACGAGAGCTCCTCATGCGTGTAACCAAAGCAAGCTTACTATAAATAATAAACATGGCTACATTGGATTCTTATATTCTTCAGAATAAAGTTCTTGAAGTGTTTGTGCTTTTTTCCTTCCAAATTATCATGTTTATTCACCGACAACTTTCCCTTTTATGTCATTTTTTTTAAAAATCGTATAAACCAAGTCTACTAAAAAGGGAAAAAAATATAATCTTTTCTTCTTATCACATAAAAACAAACAATATAGTGAGAAAATAAAACATAACTAAAAAGCACAAATACTATTCACAGCCATTAAGTGCACGGATTTAACATTCACCTCGTTTGTTTACAATTATATAACGCGCCTCCCTCGATAGCGGCGGGGCAAAGTCATACACAAAATATAAACAACCACACACACAGAATAGTTAAATTAATTCTTGATAAAATTGTTCCTTTTTATACTATCTCTGCCCCACGAAAATATTATGTTGTTCGAGTCTTACGTATGGTAGGAAAGAAAGCTAGATCCGTATTCACCGTAAACAAGGCTCCGTTCTCATTTTGATATTGAAGAATAATTGAAATAAACTTGCCGTAAGTAATAAATATTTTACAACGCTGTATCATATCTTTTTTTTTTTTAAATTAGGTTTTAAACATGTTCTTTGTTTCCCGTTCAGAGTATTCGATGGTATCATTTTCCTTTTATTAATAAATATCTTTCCAACTCCAAGAGAAGAGTTGTAGAAAAAAGTACGAGTATCTTTTATTCGTTTGAATATAAACACAAACAATTTGAATGGAAACAATATACGCCTGGATTTCATAAAAAAAAACTTTTAAGAGTCAAATAATACACAATTATTTACTGTGCGATTCTCATATTCACCTGGAACCCAGATTCATTACGTAATCTATCTTTCGATTACACGCGGCCGAGAAATTCTAAAGCGACACACCGCGGTGAACCATTGACCCCGCAGTCATAGGCAAAATAATTGGCATATTCAAACCATTCTACAACAGTAAACAAATATTATTTTCTCTAAGAAAATTAAATCTTTCAAAAATATCTTAAAATGTTTTAGGTTTGACTTTAGTATAAAACGCTGGGGCATTTATTTTACATGTACATTAATCAGTCTTCAATTTTTAAATATTCGTTAGCTCCATGTGTAATTTGACGATTCATAGCACAAGGACTGGCGATCTTCAGTTACTTTACCTTAACCAATATTTATTAAAATGCACAAGCTTTGCTCTTTTCACACACAAATAAATCCGTTTTCAACACAAGTTTTCCGAAACACATTTTTTTTTCATCACAGATATTAACCATGGCTATACCAATTTTAAACTTTTAAAAGGAATCTTCCGAATTGTAAGGATAGAATTATAGTCAATGAAATGGATTAAACATCGATAAGTAACACCGGCACATGTAAACTTCATAAGTGACTTCTGTGCTGCACACTGTCTATTAATTTATATCATGTAATTACACGCTTTTACAACATGAATTAAACTGTTAAAATCATAACCGGCACCAAAGTCAAACCATTTGTATCGTTTACTGTATATAACTCAGAAATGATGAACTTATATCTTGCACAAATTACTTTCCTTGGTTTAAAAATACGCGTACGAGAGAAAGCGAGTGAGAGGCATTTTATTCAAGTACATTCATGTTTTTACCAGCGAGTCCCTGTATCAAGTATTGTCTAATTTTTATTCTATTACACATAATCTCCCTTTCCTATTTAAATTTAATTTATTTGATGATTTTATTCAACTTCAAGCACAATATCATTATGTAGACAGTAGTACTAAAATGAAGTCCATGCATGGATGCTACTGTACATCGGGAATTTTCTTTAATCATTTATCCATGCATTCCTCCTTCAAGGGAAATAATTATAAATAAATTGATTGAATAACGTGTATAAAACCATGTGGTTTCGGTTTGTCAGCGTGTTTTAGATCATGATCAGCAAATCACAACTCCTCGGGTCTTCCTGTCTAACAGAATAATAACCTCGAATGTATAAGGGATACATCAAGACATCCCCATGCTCCTCACCCCCCTTTTACCCAAACTTAGAAATAAATGAGGAAAGATATTTTATTTGTGGACTTTTGACTTTAATTTTATTGAAAGTAAAGCTAGCTATTACCTAAAATACGTCTCATGGAAGGGACTTTCAACCCCGTCTATCTTTCATAAATGGAAACTCCATGTTGTTTGAATATTAATATCCGGTGATGTTTTAAAATACCTCAATGTTGTTTTTCTGACCTGTGACAAAATGGAACGAGATAATGCAAATTTCAAACATCTTCATTGGCCAATGACAGAAAAGTTGTAAAATTCCTGTCAGGGTTATGAACTTCTAATCACTAAAAGGTGTTTGTCTTGACACAGAGCCAAGGTTATTCTCTTAAGATCAAGGTCACTGACAGAAGAAATATTTTCTTTACTACGCCATGAAGTAGTAAATGAAAATCATTGGAGGCTTTTACTTGAAACATAGATTTCTTATGATTGGAGGTTTTGTCATGACTCTGATCAAATGTCTTTCTGGCAAATCAAGGTCACTGACAAAGAAAAAAATGTTTAAGCATAACTTTGTAATTAAAATTCACTGGAGGCTCATGCTGAGAAGAAAGGTTGTTGAAAAGTGCAGTGACCTTGACCCAAGGTCTGTACTTCCTGTCCACAGCTCCAACGGAAGACCTACTCGTTGCTTTGCAACGAGCTCGGCTCTAGTGGTATTTACTGATCTCAATCCAGTTAAATTGACAGTATAAACTACTAACAGTATAAACTACTAACAGTTTAAACAACTAACAGTATAAACAACTAACAGTATAAACTACTAACAGTATAAACTACTTACAGGGAATGTGTGTGCAGGTGATGTGTGTGCGATAGAAGACGACCACGCGTTCTTCAGGTAGGTGGTATCACACTGAGTCGCCAGTATAAAGAGTTACTTACTTTGTTTTATTCTGGCTGATATTTATGAAGTTTTTTAAAAGGAATAGATGAAAGCTCTGGAGATTTACAAATTACTGAGCATAGTTCCTCTGTTTTATTGATCTTCTATCTGATTGATTTTCAGAGTGCAGATCCAGGATATCAAGGGGAGTAACTCTCCTGGCTCCAAGACCATGCAAGCACAGGTGGGTGGTATATACATGTAATAATTCACATGTTACAGATTTGTGTGACCATTGGCAGAAATTTGGTTTACAAATATAGAGACTTGTGAGTGTCTTATTTAAGAGCAAAGAAGTACCATTATATTCATCAATTCACATGTAAATCGACAACTCCTTTATTATATGGCTAAAATATTTTCTTTTTGCTTATTTTTATTTTTGAAATAAATATAGATCTACTAAATTTCATCAATATTGTATGATAAACATTACAGGTGTTTTTTGTTGATGAGGGTCGAGTGAAAGACGTCTCCATGTTCAAACTTTATGAACTCCCGCCACACTTAAAATCATATCCATTCCAGGTTTGTAAAAACTGTGACATTCAACCGAGTTTCTTATACTTTAATCATGTGTAGATGTAGATTGCCAGGAATGAGCAGAAGGCCTTTTCTCATTTCACAATTTAAAAAGTAAAAATCATTATTGAAAAGGGATGTAACACATATTTTAGTTTGTCTAACTTGATAACACTTGATAGCGTTAAACTGTCAGAAATGTATGTACTCTGTTTGAGATTTGTCTGCATATTAGTATTGTCAGTATTTATAATTTGTTTGTATCTCTTTTATAGACTGTTGAAGTCTACCTGTGCAGGTTGAGGCCGATAGACAGAGATGAAAACTGGACCTCCAATGTAAGTCTTCATCAATGTTAGCTCAGAGACTGTTTTCTGTAATTGATGTGAGCATTGTGACTGAGCTCACTCAGTGTCACCTCTGATGTATAACTGAAATATGGCCAATTTCGGCTTTAAGTAATATCCAATCAAACCTTGTCATTTCAGGCTGACCAGTATGTCCATGGAATCTTAAAAGACAAAGTTCTCTATGGCAGAATTGTACTGAGGTTTGAGCTTTTGTGATGATAATTGAATTCTTTTCCACATGTAATACTATAAAAATATGTTCACAGATGATTTTGTATGCCTTGAGCCCACTGCACACTTCATAGATTTTGAGTAGTCCACTTATTGATTGTTTTGGTGAATTTCAGCATTGGAAACACCATCTGGCTGGATCCTTTGGTAGAGCGACAACGTCTGAGAGAAAATAAGGGGTTCATAAACAAGATGTACGTCAGATCGGAGCTCTTGAAAAATGGATATGCTGTGGAAAATGAAGAGGTATTTTAATTTGTAAATCTCAAAGAAATAAAAAAATCTAAAGGAACTATGCATTTAACAGAGAATTCTGGAGTTGCCGAAATTTACGTTTTTAGTTCAGTATTATGGGATTTTCATATAATTTTTAAATTGACTGTTTTTCAGCATGTTGAGAACTTGTACAAACTATGTGAAGGTCTACTACCCATCCCTACTCTACACGACACAGGGGATAAGTAAGTGCCTACAAAGTCTCTCTAGAAACTTTATATCTAAAAAATAAGTTATATATGGTGTTTAATTTGTTGACCCCCAGCCTCCTTAAAAAAATCTCCCTAAAAAAACCCATAAATGATTGAGGTCTATTTGATTGTAGTATGGAGTTATCCGTGGAGACAGACTTGCTGCCCGAGGATGAAGAATTCCACACCGTCTATGTGTCTGCCTGTGAAGATCCTGGTCTCTTCTTTATACAGCGATGTCAGTTTGTCAAACAGTGAGTAGAGTAATGTACACTGTGTTCACACTGTCTGTCTATCAAGGTGTAAAGATTTCTATCTCTTGTTCATACAGTTTGTCGAGTATATATATATACTAATAAGCAGTGTTCATAAAGTGAATTCAAAATGTGTTATTTGTAATAAACAAAAATCATAAACAGAATGTGCTGTACATATAATAAAATTACAATAAAAGCCAGAAACTGTTCACAAATTAGTACAGTGGACCTTCAGATATCCGGACGTCAGATATCCGGATGCTTCAGTATCCGGACGATCTTTCATCGGAACGGAATTTTTTAATGTTATTTTTTCTTGTTTAACTGGTGATTCAGGTATCCGGACGCTTCACATATCCGGACAAATTGACTGGGAACCAAAGCGTCCGGATAAATGAGGCTCCACTGTACAAGAAAATTTGTTCTGATTTCTCATTACTTATATTTTGTGGGAAAAACCATTTTATTTCTAGTTGGAAACTTCAGCTTCCTCCAATGAATATGCACCAACCCTTATTTCAAAAGTTCTTTTCATCTGAAGGATGATCATACATAGCCTATATTTTATTGATCTATTTATAGAATGGATGCCATGATAGATGCTATCAATGACAGACTACAAAGGTCAGAGGTGACAGCGATGAAGGTCACATCCTGTCAGGTGGGGACAATCTGTCTGGGAAAATACACCCAGGACGACACCTGGTATCGTGTCAGAATTGTCGAGGTCAGTAGAACACTTTACTTTCAGTTTCTGTTTTACTCAGTATCAAAAACAAAACCAGAATATTTGCAGCAAAGCAGAAAAGATCTCGGAAAATTAAATCCTAGTGAATGAAGTAATGCTAAAAATGAAGACATTAAAAATAAAAATGTCATTGAGCGTACCTTTGATTTGTAATATTAAAATTTCATGATATTGTTTTGTATTTCAGTGTAATGTGGGTAACGAGCTGATATTATTAAATATTATATTTCAGTGTGTAGATAACGGAGACTATAAGGTGATGTTTTGTGATCAGGGGGATTATGAAGTCCTGCCCATCAGCCGACTTCATCCATTTCCTCAAGAATATTCTGAGATCCCTATGTTGGCTATTGAGTGTGAACTGGCTCATGTTCAACCCAGAGGTAAGTACATGTATATCTCTGTATAGTAGATTCCTTTATGAGAATTAAGTAAAATAGGGTTATAATGATAGAAAAATTGTGAGAAAGTAATGAGTATGTGAATTGTGACTAAATGTACATAAATTATAAAACACATCAAATTATAAATTATATAACACATAAGAGGAGAGGACATTATTCTTATAAAGATCAGGGACGTGAGTATTTTGTTATTTCAGGTGAGAGCTGGGATGACAGCGTTGGTGATGCATTGTGGGATATGACTCATACTGTGGCAGGAGGCAATAAAAAGTTGATGGCCAAGGTACTTAATTATTTCCAAATTAAATATTCAAAAAATCTTTTTATTAAGGGTACGCCTCCAGTAGATTAAAATCTTGCTCTGTTTGTAGGTGATAGGGATGAAGGATTCTTTATTTACCGGTGTACACAGGTATATTGTGGAATTGTGGGATACGTACACAGCCAACGACATCAATCTGGCCCAGGAACTAGTCTGGTCAGGGCTGGCATCTCCCAAGGAGGGATCCAACCTTCAGGTATGTCTAAATATATAACTGGTCTGTCAGCTCTGGTACAAGGATCTACAAGTGCTCTACATTTTACATACCGCAGTTCTACAAAATCACACTTTGTATGTAAATGGGGCTTCATTGGCATGATAAAATACAATTTTTAGAAAATAAAAATTGATATTTTATAAAATTGCTTGTTTGCTATTTGTACTAATGTATAATAAGTCTGTCATAGTCTGTTCTGTAAAAGTGATTACAAAAAATGCAAATATATACATGTAAAAGAGTTAAAATAATTCTCTGTTTTCAGGAGATGTTCCAGAAGCCTCCGATGATAAATTTCCAGGTTTACAGGAATCCTGTACAGATGGTGATGGATCTGTGTGCCTGTCTGTACTGGAGAAAGGTAACTCCCTCTCTGTCGTAGAAATGTCAGTGGTTTGATGAAGAGTTTAGGTCAAAGTCAGTAATACAGGAACATTCTCATTAATCAGTGCATACAAGTTATAAAAAAAATTTATAAAATATCATTGAAAAATGAATTTTATTTCAGGATCAGAAACGAAAAATTCCCCCAGCTCTGGAAATTTTTGATATTGTAACCAAGGCAGTTAATCGGTAAGTTTTAAAGAGAGAATATTAATCTCATTCTCATCACAGCACTCAAATACATCGTTAATTTGTTATACTTGTTTATGTCTGCAGTAGTCCTTTGGATCTTGTGGGTTATCGAGGGTTAGCTGCCATCATTAAGTTGATTGGTCGACTGACAGATGACACCGCCCACAAATGTCTGCTAGAAAGTCTCCTGATAGCTGCAGAAAACAATGACAGGTATTAGAAATAATGTAATTTTCTCTGTCACTATAGTCAGAAAAAGGTGGCTATCACCCTAAATTAATTGTATACCTTAGGGGTTTCCTTTGTCTGAATACTGTAGTTATAAACATTTTTCTCTCCCATGCAGACTTGCAGAAGAAATCATCAACCAAGATGGAGACCACAGTGTTATCCAGTGTTTAGATCAGGTAATTATAGTAAGCATAGATTTAGAACATTCTAATACATGTGTTGTAAATAAATACTGTATTCCCCTGCAAATGAAGTTCAGGGATTGTATAGGAATTGCCATGTCTGTTTGTCTGTGTTCTACTTTTGTTATAATCATAGAAAGCTCGAACTTGAAAAAGAGAATGTTTATGGCCAGAAAGTATGTCTCAATTGACTTTGACTGAATGTCATACCAGCAAGTTTGAAGGCTAAAAATTCATATCAGAGCTATAACGTTGTAATGATGAATCTTTGGAAGCTCATACTTGAAAAAAGATTGTTAATGACCTTAGATTGTGACATAACCTTGACTTGTGCCCTTGTGGCAACTTCAAGGTCATTGACATAATACTGTTAAGTAAAGGTCTTTAATTTTCTAATGGTAAAACATTGATTGTCCAAATTTCACTGAAAGATGACATAAGCAGAGAATGTGTTAAAAAACCATTGTCTTTTTAGCAAGTTCAAGGTCAAACTTACAAACGCTTTAAATTGCAGTTGGAGGTTTTGTTTTGTGGGCTCTATCAAAGTATTATGTATTTTTAGCTCACCTCAACGAAGTTGGGGGGAGCTTATGTGATACCCTCGGCGTCGGCGTCGGTGTCGGCGTCCCAGGTTAAGGTTAAGTTTTTTGGAGCAGTTTTCTTTTTAATTACTTCTGTGTCCTATACTGATTAGACATGCATGGAAGATGGTTTTAGTGTGTTTTATTGTACCAGACAAAGTTTCAGATGCTGCAATTTCAGCAAAGGAATTACCAGGTTAATGTTTTTGGAGCAGGTTAACATTTTTGGTGCAGTTTTCGGTGTGGGTTTCATTTCCAAGTAACTATAAGCCCTATGTTGACCAAACTTGCATGGATGATACATCTAAGGATGCATACTACCGGGCTTGCTTCGGATGCTGAATCTGACCTACATTTTCCGGTTGAGTGACCAGGTTAAAGTTTTCAGTGTAGGTTTCATTTCCAAGTAACTATAAGCCCTATGTTGACCAAACTTGCATGGATGATACAAAGGATGCATACTGTGCTTCGGATGCTGAATCTGACCTACATTTTCCAGTTGAGTGAACAGGTTAAAGTTTTTGGTGCAGGTTTCATTTGCAAGTAACTATAAGCCCTATGTTGACCAAACTTGCATGGATGATACATCTAAGGATGCATACTAGATGCTGAATCTGACCTACATTTTCCAGTTGAGTGAACAGGTAAAGTTTTTGATGCAGGTTTCATTTCCAAGTAACTATAAGCCCTATGTTGACCAAACTTTCATGGATGATACATCTAAGGATGCATACTACCGGGCTTGCTTCGGATGCTGAATCTGACCTACATTTTCCAGTTGAGCGAACAGGTTAATGTTTTTGGTGCAGGTTTCATTTGCAAGTAACTTTAAGCCCTATGTTGACCAAACTTGCATGGAATATGATACATCTAAGGATGCACACTACCAGGCTTGCTTCAGATGCTGAATCTGACCTACATTTTCCGGTTGAGTGAATAGTTAAAAGTTTTTGGTGCAGGTTTCATTTCCAAGGAACTAAGTTCTTTAATGACCAGTCTTGGATAGATGATACATCTAAGGATGCATACTTCTAGGCTTGCTTCGGATGCTGAATCTGACTTACTTTTTGTGGATGAGTGAAAATTTTAGTTTTGATGCATGTTTCATTTCCAATAAACTATGAGCCGTATAATGAGCAAACTTGCATGGATGATACATCTAAGGATGCACACTAATGGACTTGCTTCGGATGCTGAATTGGACAAGATAATAGACAAGGTAAAAGTTATGGTTGCAGGTCTATTACCAAAAACTATAAGGCTTATATAACATTGTATAAACCAAACTTGCACAAATGCTGCATCAAGAGATGAAAACTCTCAATCTTGCTTCAGATGCTGGATTTTCATTACATTTTCATGAAGAAGAAGTAGTTTAAATTTTTTATGTAGGTCTATTTCAAAGTATGATCAAAATTGCTTTTAAAAATATTTTCATCTTTGGAATGTATACTTTTTGTTGGTTAATTGTGTGACTTTGCCTTACTTAAAGACAACATTCGTTGAGGTGAGCTCTGTAATCTCTGATTACCTATGTTTTTAACATTTCAAAGTATTAGATTCTTTTCTTTGATTAAATGTGAAACTATTCATTTCAGAAAAGCCGTCCAAAAATCCAAACTCAGGCTCTAGAGGCCATACACAGACTAATCAACTGTAATAACAGGTGTGTGTAATGTCATCATATGTAATAACAAGTATGTGTAGTCTCATAAAAGGTTCATTAGATGTAAAAGCTGGTATGTTTCATGTCATCGGATGTGTATAAATTCGTAAGATGTAATAGATATTGTCAACATCTTGAATGTAAAGTTTTGTATTATTTTCAAAATAAATGTAATTGTTTGAATATGATGTATAATTTATTTTCTCCTCAGGTTTGTGAAGGCCTTCAGTGATGCCTCGGTCCTTGAGTGCCTGTGTGAGATTCTGGAGGTGACAGAGGAACCAGAGGTGCTCCCAATTATTTAAATTAGGAAATTATTGATAATTCTGGTGTTATTTTTATACTAAAAGGAAAAGAATTGATTCATAATTTAAAAGGACAGTCAATTATATGTGTAAGACAGCAATTAGGTCTGTTTCCAGCATAGGCAGCAAGAAAACCAAACATGGTTCTGTAAATGAAGAACATTGTGGGATGTTTTTAAATTTTTCTGATTGATGTTAAACTCTTCTAGTGAATTAGTCCTATACTGATCAATGTATTGTCTGTTTGGCAGATTCTTTATGGAACAGGGCGAGCTTTGAATATAATCTGTAATCAGTCAAAAAGGTAAGGAATCACAAAGGATGCAGTACTATTTTTGAATTCATATTATCTTTGACCTTGTTATTACCTGTTATTTAAAATTTACTTGTGTTTGCTTGTTTTAGGAAATAGTTACTAGCACTTTTTTAAATATTATTTTGCATGCATATAAGAAGTTGTAATTAGTTCATATATGTATTTGATATCTAACATACCTTTGATAGTGTTTAATTTCCCATTGTTATGCAAGTTTTGTCACATAAACAAAATTAGAATTCCATGTTTGGGGGCAGTTTGTAAAATTTGAAATAAGAAAACACAATATTGCATTACAGATGGGGAGTAGTATTTGAGTACTAACAAATATATGATTATTAGACCCGTGACCTTTGCATGTGCTTTTTGGTGTCTTAATAAGAATAAATATTCCCACTAGCTCAAGTTACCTGTGTTGATACCTTGGTGATGGCAACTATGCAGAATAAACTTTTGACATCTGGTTAAAAAAAATTATATCTTTAATATTTATTATGCATGTATCATTGTTTTAAGGTTAAAATTAAATCCATGGATAATTTAATTTGTTTGAGATGAATAGATTAGGACCTAACAGAAAATCAGACGCAGTGTTAAATGTATGGTTTGAATGAATTTTAAAGAATTTGATTCTCAAACAAATTCACAAATGCCATTAGCTACCTTTTGCCGTCATAAAATTTGCATTGACGGTCATTTACCTAAAAAAAAATTATAAAATAGAGATCTTAAATTGAAATTTTTACGTAGAATTAAAAAAGTCAACTACTGTGCCTGCCAATTTTTACTTTATAATAAATATAGGAAAAAGAAAATATTGAAAATGTTTACATTTCTCTGCAACAAATCTTGTATTTGTTTTAACCGAAATGGGAAATAAAGAATGTGTCTCTTAGTTATTTGTGTACATAAAATGACCTTTCAAGTGAAAAAAATATAAAAACTTGCTTATCATTTAGAAGCATTTCAATCTCATGTGTATTTTGATACAATTTTAACAGGTTGAGTTTAAATTTATCAAATTGGATAAATTGATTGGCAAATCCATATTTGATTGTCATAATCCCTAAAATTATACATGTAGTTGATCATATCATGGGTAGTTGGATTTATAGGATAAAAGACTGGGTGATTAATTAATGTTATCTTTTTTGCTTCATTGTTAGATGTTGTTTAGGCTCCTTGTTTTAGTTTATCTCCTGTAGAAGGGTATTGTGATGATGATTGTGTTTCTACAAGGAATTGATTTTGTGGCTTCTCTGTAACATCTCTTCGCTAGTGATAACCCCCCTTCTTACTTTAAGGTGTAGTAATGGGGTCCACTGTTTGGTGTACACTTAACCAAGTCATGGCAAAATTTTCATCCTAAACCAAAGCATCAAATCACAAACTCATCCTCACTTCTGAACTCTCCTTTCTGATGGATTGTTTTCTGTGAATTTAGTATGAGCCAAAAACGGGAAAGCCGTGTACGTCTTCCTGGACTTCTAGATTCAGTCAACAGCTATAAAACACAATCATGTTCACAACTTCCTGTTACTGCGAAAAAGTGGTAAGTGTGAACGCTGACAAGAGATAGGTTTTACTGTTCAGTAGAGAATCGTAGTAAGATAGGTTTCACTGTCAGTAGAGAATCATAAAAAAGTAGTTTGTCCTTCATCTGGGTTGACAAGGAGCTTTAGGGCATTATAGAATTTGATCACATGACCGACTTCATGTCATATCCCAATGAAACTCTTAAAATGATATTTTATTTCTTAAATAAATAAGATTTATATCTGGTACTATATGTCACAAATTTAATCATTGTAGATGCATGCTTTGTAGGTTTGGTATCTTTAGAGCTCCTTGTTGATAATAAAGCCACTAAGTGTTCACACTTGCTCCTTTCAGCAAAATGAAATAATTTCATAGGACTAGGGCTTGCTCTATGTTAATGTTTCTTGTTTGTTTCATTTCTTAGTGCCTCAGATATTGTGTACCATTTTAAGGTCTGTGACTTAATCACAGAGTCACTCAAACGCACAGATGACCTACAGGCATGCCAGGCACTGCTGCAGTTTCTGGTTACTCTAGTCAATAAAAACGGGTATGTTATAGAAAATTAATATTATAATTATATATTTCCTTAATATTTACAGCTTAGTAGCTAGTTTTCTTGTTTGTGTTATAAATATGAATGAAAAGTTGAGTAAATCTAAGATTCATTCTAGACAATCCACAATTAATAGAGACTGAATTGAATTCATAAATCAAAATTTCCTATTAACAGAAAACGAGAACCTCTGCACAATGAAAAACTTGCCAAGGTGGTCATTTCCAAAATGAGTTCATTCTTGGATGATATGGTAAGTTAATTACCTTCTACCCAGCTTACTAATAATTACTAATTAATTATAACTGAAATCAAAGATATTTTAACTCCACTTTTATTTGGCACAAGTGTTCAATTATCACAATTAACATGCAGCTAAACATGAACAGGACTAGATCAATGGAGGAGACTAGATTAATTGACTCGGCAAACTCTCACAATTCATTGTCTTAAGTTTCCTGAAAAGCACAATAAAGATTAGCACATTCTCCAAAGCATGGTATTCTCACAATGCTAGTGTTATATTTTTATCAAAACTCGTATTTCACACGGAGAAGCCGTCTCTGGTGTATCAAGCACTTCGGTGCATCAGACAAAAGTTTTCGATCTCAGGTTGAGCCATTTTGTCGGTAGCTGGACCTCGAGTCATGGACTCGGGTAACAGATTGGTTGTCTCTGGTTCCTCGGAGCTCTGGAGAATCAGGTTAGACAACTTCTGAATCCTGGTCCAGGTTTTGTTACGATACTTTATGAACATTAACTTATAGCCCTCTAGTACTGATAGACGGAGTACGGACTGGTGACGGAATTCATTCTGTCCCGTCAGTGTCGCATGAAACATCTTCTGATTCTCACGTTTTAGGGCATTCTCTGAAATTAAGGAGAAAAAAGGTGCAATTACTCACAGTAGGAAATTTATGAATTATGGATAAATTAAAGTTGGTAGTTTTGTTTAAGGATAAATAATAATACATGTAATGTTGGTTATATGACTGCAATTATCAAAATGTACATCAAAAGATTGTAAAACTGCCTTGGTGGTTCTTTAGTTACTCAAGTAGCATTAATTTTTTAACTGTTAAATATGTTTTGAATTCAGAATCTCATCAGCAATGAAACTTGTTGAACCATTGTTTTATTTCAGAGTATGGAAAATTTCTAGTTTATTACTGAAAAGAAAAAGACAAGTAAAGAAACTGAAATTTATGTTTATACTTCATATAAATCAATGTCCTAATATTTAATATGAAAAGTAACTTTCTGTTGGTAATTTATTTTTTTTTTTTTATAAACAAATTATAATTTTTCTTATTGATATATCTGCCCTACCTAGTAGCTGAATTCTGTGATTAGCCTCATCATAAACACACAGTAGTGACTTTAGTTTGGAGGCTGTCACTAGGGTGTCCATTTTGGCCATGTTCTTGATCAGCTGACTGTGTATGTTTCCTCGTGGGGGACAGAACCAGGACTGAGCCATCCTGAAATCTGCTCCTGTATAAGTAGCTCTCAAAGTCACTCACCCAGGCTCACCTTAGTACAAATCTTCACACAGGGGACCTAAGGTCAGGGCTAAAAGGAAGTCATTAAAATTTTAATTCAGGCCCCGAAAGAACCCCTGCAAAGGACCAACAAAGGGGCAATCAGAAATTTTTGTTCAGTTTTTGTAAAGCACTCAAAATAAACAGATTTGTGATAGTCTTTGTATGAGGCCATTTAACCCCTGAGGATAATTGGTGTAATTAACACCACCCTGAGTTTCCAAGAATTGGAGTCATTGGTAGGGGATTTACAGGTAAGATGTTTGTTCACCTGTAATCCCCCAGCCAGGGATCAACAGGTAAACAAAGGCCAGGCCACAGGTGAGACTACAGTCATTGGCTGACCGTCTGCCATTATTGTACATCAGGGGAGACAAACTGTGTATTGTTCTGTCACTTATATCCACAGGATCCTGCTAATGGAAATTTATGGGGGGCTTGCTAGTATTCAAAGGGATTTTTATAGCTGTCATAAATTAATTAACAACACTGTGTAAGCATTTTAAGTTAATTTCATCCACTTTAAAATTTGTGGGTTTGATTGGCAGTTATTGACAATGTGACATTTGATATTTACTAAGGAGAAATAAACAATGCTTAATTAAAACAAGAATTATTTAAAAATCAATTTTTTTTAATAAAAAGGAAGATTTGTGTAAAAAGAATAAACAATGTTCAATATATAAAAATAAACTTGATTTAAAAAGAACATTTTCAAGATAAAAGAAATTAGAGGGAGTTTTAATCTGATTATTTTTATCTGTTTGAATCGGTTAATTAAATATTTTATATTTAAATTTACATCCATTGAAGTTTTATCTTATAATTCCTATAAAAACAACTTATTTCATCAATCAGTAAATGACATTAAAAACTTTACTTGTTTGCGAAACAAAGTGTATAGATTTTTATGCAGAGTACTTTTCAATCAGCGAAACTCAAAATTCATCAATATTGCTAATGTTAAATGTACTTTTATCTACTTTTTATAATAATACTTCAGACATTAATATAAATGTCAATAAAATGTCTTCCTTTGATAGGACAGTCACAGGAATTAAAAATGACAGCTTTTGTAGTTAAAATTACTCACACTGTATTGGATATGTAATGGTAATTTTTTCGGTTATTAATTAAGCCTTATTGTTGATTCCTGTACATACACTAACAAAGAAAGAATTGAGGATTGTTTTAAGTTGGTAGCTGTATGTTGTATATGTGTGTGAATTTCCTTTCAGTGTATCTCCTGTGGAGTAGCCTACTGTGAGAATCTATGCAAGGAAAACCGAAAAAAGAAAACTTTTCTTCTGGAGCAAGGAGTGGTGATCATTCTAAAGAAGTGAGTCAGATTTAACAGCATATTTAAAACTCTTGATTCTAACCATCTTTTGAAAGCACAAAGATTCAGAAAAAATGTGTAAAAAATTTATGTATCTTAATTGATACAACTAAAGACTACCAAGTCACTGATGATTACTCTGTTATTAGAGCTATTAAACAACAGAAGCTTGGCACTGAAACGTACAGGAAATGTGAGAGATTCCTCAACAGTCTCGTGATCCAGGTCCCAACGTCTAGCTCTATCAACAGTAAACCAATCCACCTACAGCGGTCTGCTTACCCCCAACAAAAGTAAGTAAAGATACTCCCAACAAACATAAGTAAACCACCTACAGCAGTTCCCCTACCCCCAACAAAAGTAAGTAAAGACACCCAACTAGGCCAGGTTACCAAAAATATAGTTGGTGTGTTTATCTGTAGGGAATTATCCATCCAACTTAAAGACCCAATTTTTTTACGGTAGGGTTACCTGAGGAGGGGGAGTGGTCAAAGTAACAGTGGTGTTATTTACCTGGAGACCCCCAATACCCAAGATGTCAAAAATCTGTGTATACGTAGCATTACACAGGAAGTCTGTGTTTGGTAATCAGGGTCAACATTACGTGTTTTGTGTCTGGTAACTACGTAAATTCATTATTTTTATATAAATTTATTTGTAAACTAAACGCATTCATCGTAATCACGGTAATGTTTTGAAGGAAAAAAATAATGATACATATACATGTATATCGTTTTAGAAAATGGTTTCCTTACATAAAAGAAAAAATCACGTGTAAAAACTACAAATCAATAAAATTTATCTTTTTTAATCTTCAATAAAAGAAATCACTTGATTAAAAAAGTCTGAATATTGAAATTAAAAACAAAATATTAATCCACCTATCCGTCGTGCATGTGAACATGCATTTACCGCGATCGGAATGTTTTATTTTTTTTCTGGCCAACAATGTTGTCCAAAATATTCCATATTTTTTATTCTTTGTGTATTAACAAAAATTTTTGTTTGAAAGATTTCTTTTCAGAATCGATCACTTTTATTTATCTTCACATGTTCATTACGTATATATACAGACGTTAAAGGAAATTCGAGCATTAATTCTGACATCAATTTCTGTACAACATCGTGCGGATTGTAGCCACAGTACAAAATAAAACATCTTTCAAAAACTATGCTATGCCGCTTGTAGAGCTGAATATTTTTCTTATATCCCATTTCTTAAAAAATAATTTAAATCGTCGGACTTCCAATTACAGAAAATAGAGCCTGTTTCTGTGAACGCGGTCTTTTTTCTACAGATACCGTGGACGATATAAACACTTACAAGTAACAAACAGCAGTGAAGATAGGAAAGAAATATTTTATTATTTCAATGTTTTAATAATCTACTTTCAATTATTTTTTGAAATAAAATTCAAACATATTGGAATTTACTAACCCGCGTGTATACTATGCGGGTACATGAAAGCGTTTGACGCGTGACCAGGTAATTGTTTTCAAAACATGCAAACTAAGATTATCAGGAAGCACAGGTAGTTGTTCTGTCAATCAAATCAGAAGCTATTGTTTTTTTTTAATAATTGACAGGCGGTAATTTATTGATCTTGAATCAGGTAGATTTTGGGGGCGTTAACATAAAATTGGGTGTTAAACTCATCACGTTACCCCAAACGCTGTAATAATCCATGTAAACAAGGAGAGTGAATCCTTGATAAATGATTGATTAGCTTTGATTATATTCATGTATTGTTACTTTGTTCTGACAAGGAATGAGCATGTTGTTCATTTGTTAATTGTTTCCAGGTTGGTTCCCATTATAACTTGGGCCCAGAACAAGCGTAATGTGATCCTAGCGGTGCGAGTCGCCCTGGCAGGGGATGCTCCGGTCAAAGTCAACCAAAACAGCTTCTTCTTCAGGTAAGGCTCAAAGCATCACGTACTACAGTAAAACTCACTTAGTATGAACACAGATAGTGCGAATTCAAAGATATAGTGAGTTTATCTTGGATCCCCAGCTATATAAATTTAACGGATTCCATATACAGATATAACAAATTATAGATATGGCGAAGTTATTTCCTAGGTCCCAGTAGCTTTGTTGTAACCTAGTTTTACTGTAGTATACAATTATCACTATTATCACAGACATTCTGAATTTAAAATTGATCTTTTTCACTATAACTGTATGGGGGATGTATATGTTCCAACACCATTTCTTTATTGTTTCTATGCTTTATACAGGACGGTTGTGGATGATACACTGTATGAAGCTAAGTATGAGCTGTTTGGTAGAATTCAGCCGGATGCCTGTCATGTGTCAGTCAAACGTTCAGAAGTCCTCGTCAAACTGAGGAAGGAGGAGTCAGGAAGCTGGCCTCGCCTACTGAAAGTCAAAACAAAGGTACGATGTACAGTACATGTACACATGCTGATTAGTGGGTCTACTTTTAGTGCTAAATACACTTAAACTTTAGTATCTCAAACTCCAATATCTCAAATACCATGGATATGTCAAAGTGATTTGGAAGTCCCAACCACATATTCTTGAAGTATTTTACCCTCAATATCTCAAATCCTCGAATATCTTGAAGAATTTTCTTAGCCCCATAAGGTTAGAGATAATGAAGTTTGACTGTATATTATGCCTGTTATATTCAGCAATTGTTTAATGTATTACACAGAAAAAAACCCACACATACTTATTTAGTAGTTAATATAAAAACACAATAAAGAAATGACAAATTCCTGCTGTATTTTCAGTTCCCCAACATCAGCCTTGACTATGATAAGTTTGCCTGTAGTTCCTCTGAGGAAGACGTCTCTGATGACAACAATCCGTTTGTTCTGAAGAAACGTATGTATTAAAAAATTGAGAAACTTTTGGAGATTGTTTGTATTTGGAAACTTAATGCTGACTTGTATGTACATGTACTAATGTCCAATATTTCTGTTGACAGGGAAGGTAAAGAAATTTCCCAAAGACCTGAAGAGGCCTACTAAAGGTTTGACTGTGGGAGAGGTGTATCAGGAGAGTGAGGAGGAGGACAGCGAAGATGAGGAGGGAGATGACAGCGGGGAGAGGACCCTAGGACTAGCTGATGACATTGACCCTTACGACATGTTCGGAAACATGTCCTGATGACCACAACTCGTGTTGTGTGTTCAGTCATCAGTGTTGATGTGACCAGCAGTACAGCCTTGGACAACCTGCAGATCCTAGGATGAAGGAAGGCTGATAGGATCAAAGGAAGGATCATGGAGGATCTCTACTCCTACTAAAAATTGTGTTCATGACTCGCAGAGACTGCCTTTCTGGTGCTGAAATCATGTGATTTATTTTACTCACTCCAGCTTTGTAGGTCATGTAGGTCACTTAAACTTGGAACATAAGAATTACAATAGAGAGACTAGAGTTATATTTTTTATAAGAATATTTTTTATGAATCATGTTTTTCATCTTTTCCATTATTAAGGGCAGGTAGCCTTTTTAGTAAAACAAACTTCATAACAAACCAAACATATCCATTTGTTAATCTACTACTTTATTGTTTGCTTGTTAATTTCAGTTAATATGTATTCCTGTAAATATGTTTAAATAGATCAGAAGTTTAAAGCATTTTTGAATGAAAGTTTCTTTTAAAGAAGGTAAAACATTTTTTCTCTGTTTTTATTATCCTTATCACATTATATCAGTTAAACAATATACTACTCCAAGTCTATATAATTCTCTTTAATATAGAGGATGTATATATACCAGTAGATAAAGATTTTAGTTTAGGACTCAGTCCATAAAGATAAATTTTAGTTCATCACATGTCTACACCATTTTTAAAGAAAAAAATAAGCTTTCTGAGAGTATAGCATAAGCATTTCTAGTTCCCTACCTGCAAGTGTAATCTGGTTCCCATTAAAAATTGAAAAATGCACAGCGGTAATTTTGTCAAAAATCAAAGAAGCAGAACAAAATGTGAGCTTGATCTATAACTCATCAAGGTAAACTCGCATACCAAAATCAGCTCAGTATCTAATTGCGCTTAGAAAAGAAATTGCAGAAAACTAATTGGGACAGACTGAGAAAAGTCCAATCCACACTTTGCAAGAGTTATGTTCCTTTGCTGTGTCAACCAAAAGAGAAAGCAATGGCATTTCTCCTCTAAATGCTTCCAAACGTTTGGGTTGCTCTGATAAATCCACTGTGTTTTATTTTTGTTCTTTTGATATATGGGTATCCCCATCTTGGAGGCAATCATTATACAAGATGCAAAGAATTTTGATTAGTTAGATGACAAAGTTACAAACCAGAAAACTATAAAGGCTATTGTGAGGATTCTTTGGGTTTTTCCCCAAAATTGGTGGCCAAGGGACATAATTTTAGAACAACATGGATTCAACTATTGTCTCCTCTGGTTTCTGATGGGGACTAAAAAGGGCCCCTAACGGCAAGTGTAATCTTGTTTTCATGAAATTTAAAAATGCTATTATCACATCTTAATGCAAATGATTTACAATTCATTAAGATAGAATAACATGTCGATGATCAGCCCAATATTTGCATGTTTTTAGTGGAAAAATGTGGAAATCCAAGTGAACAATAGGTGTTTGTAAAACACTCATGCCCCCCTCCCCCCCCAAATTGTAATTTTTCCAAAGTCCAAAAGGACATAACTCTGTCAAAAATGGCATGATTGTACCCAAAACAGAACTTGACCAAGATATTTATCTTATAAGTCTGTATATTAAATTTCATTTCAGTATGTGCAACCTCTGCAAAGAAAATGAAAGGAAACTGCAAATAATTGGAATTTTTTCTAAGTCAAAGGGGCATAACTCTGTCAAAAATGGTGTCATCATACCCAAAACAGAACTTGCCTAGATATTCATGTGATATACCTGTATACGAAATTTTATTTCAGTATGTACAACAGTTGCGAAGATAATGAATGGAAACTAAGTGGACCGACAGCCAGCAGCAAAGCAATATGCCCTCCCCTCTTCGAAGGGGGGCATAAAAATTTAGTTCCCATTAAAGTGGATCAAAATCCATTGAAGCAAAACAAAATTCAAACTTTATATGTAATTCATCTAGGTACACTCACATGCCATAAAGCAATTATAACATAAACAAATCAGGAAATCCCAGTGGGACAGACAGGGAGAACACCTGAGTCCCCTCCTCTTCTACTGGTAGGGGTCTTATTAACAGTAGGGGTACTGGTACTGGTAGGGGTCTAATTAACAGTAGGGGTACTGGTACTGGTTCTAATTAACAGCAAAACTTTATTATTGGATTTTAAAATTACTGTAGAGAAAGAGATCTTATATCACTTGCTGTTATTTAAAAAAAAATAAAATGGACTGTCTTTTTCATCATTCATAGGTATAGTACAATTAGACTACACCCTCTGAGTAAGAATCGTGTAAAATATTAAAGAGAAATACCAGTAAAGGAGTGTATTGGGAAAAAAGTACATCCAAGTCATGGAATATTGTACCTGTTTTTAGTTGATATTCAGCGTTTTAGTTGTATATATTTCCTCCAAGTACAGGATTGTTTGTATTTACATAAATATTAAAACCATGTTAACAGTTGAATGCTGCTTTTTATTCTTTAAAATTCTTATAAAAGTTGCAGTGTAGCTGCTTTGTACAAATAACCGATATAACCCATTGCCTTCTGGTACAGATTTTGTCTCATATGATGAAACCTTGGGTTAGAACTTTACTCATTTTTGCCTACACACAGAGAGCAGTCGCTATTCATAAATCAATTTTATTTCTTGAATATAATTCAGATGGTCATTTTTGCAAATTCATGAAAATAACTGTTGGGTTTTGCAACTGTTCAAGATGAAATCAGAAAAAGGAAAAAATTCATTCTTCACTTTTAAAACTTTTGACTATGACGACGTCAACATGGCTAATTTTCCTTGATGTATACACATATAGTTCATTCTTGTTGAGGTTTTAAAATCGTCTTGTTGCAATCCTTCAATTGAGGTTGAAGTTGGTAAACTTCCTCTATAACTTCCGGTGGAAGTTCACAGCTGACCTGTAAGGAGGTCAGACGGAGGGCTCTTTGACCGAGGAATTTCAGAGCGCGACCCAGAGCGGGGGTGAAGGGCATCTTAAGGATGACGGTGTCCAGTGTGTTCTTAAAGAAGGCTGCTGATTTATTTAGGGGACGGAAACAGCTGGCAGGGTTCTCCATGGACAGATAACTCACTGGCATACCTCGCTTTAGGATGTTCTCAATCTTCTCTACAAAACACTCTGGCTCGAAAATCAAGTTCATTTGAAGGTCGGTAAATTTTGGTCTCAGTTCTTGCCAAACTCTTTCTGTGGTCATATTGTCGTATTCCCCATACCTGTCCTCCCGGTTGCTTACTATGGTGAGCGTCTTCAAGGGCAGTCGGTTGTCGCTTGCAAGTTCTCTTAGAACGTCATCGGAAAATGTGCAATGGAATATTTTCAATGATTTGAGATTACGACACTTGCGGACAAAGTTTAGCAACCCAACATGGGACACACGATAGCAATAAATATGACTTGTAATGTTAAGATTCTCTAGCTTGGGATGGCATATTGCTAGTTGTTCCAGAAGCTCGTCCGTATAAGAAATTAGCAGCTCACTTAAATCTACCGTTCTAAGAGAAAATGGTGAAAATTCTAATGTTCTATGTGCAAAACCAAACATGGTGAACAACCCTTCTATGAATTCTGCTCCGCTGTAAAAAAGAGGATTTTCTCCGGTAAATTTGACTGTTAGGGATTCGAGTTTTCCCCTCTCTAGGTTTGCAAATCCATGAAAAATCTGTAGAGCCATATTCCGGTTTTCCGTAGAACTTTGGTCAACACTAATCACTACGTGTCTGAAATGACCTCCATGATTTTCCAGGCAGGGTTGGTGCCAGTGTTCTTTAGCAGCATCCTTGATAACGAAGTGAAATTCTCGCCAAAATTCCGGATAATGGAAAGCATTGCGCCAGTTCTTACACACGGTGGAAGCCCGCACTTTCTCCCCTGGTCCGAGGTAGGAGAATATTTCCAGAAGAATATCGGCCGGTAGTGAATCCCATTGTCCTGTGGCCATACTGGTAGCTAAAAATAAACAATGTTTTAGCTTCAGAAAATGAATCTCATTTGACGTATAATCTATCGGCCAGCATGCCTCATCTTGGGTCGGGTTTCATTGTTACTCCCAGACAGCGGGGTTAATTACATCACTCAAGGTGCGCGTGTTTTATTGATACCTACCTTCAGATTGCCCGAAAGTTGTCCTAAACCCAAGGAAGATATCCCCCAGCCCCACCCGGTCAAAGAGGCCACCCATTCGTCCACTCAGCCCTAACCAGTCAAGGAGGGCATTCAAGCCCAGCCAGTGGAGGAAGGCTAACATTTTATGATCAGTCTGTGCACGAGTCGCCGAAGCTCATTAAGAAGGTATGACGCCGAAGCTCATATATCGCGGAAGCGCTGTCCTATAATTATTACACTGACCTCTTCCGGAGAATCAGGAAATTATCTTGACCGTCACTGGTCACTGCCCGCGGAGGTCACTCGGTCAAATAGGTCAGCTGTCTTGACCTAATCTTATAATGTGAAGTAATTAGAGATGCTGAAAAAAAATCATTTGTTTGAATGATCGATAATTTCAACCAAATAATAAATTAACGTATGTAAGAAAAATAAACTTTAATTTAATCTTTTTGTAAGAAGTAACGTTAGGATTCATTTAACAAAGAACCAAGGACTAAAATGGAAATCTAACTTTGCGAATAACTTTTAATATTTACACAATAGGCTAGCTTAAAAGTAAGTTAAATCTTTTTTTTTGAAACAAATATGGACATACAAATATTTTTATGCTGCCTTTTATTTTATTACAGAATTGTTAATTATTTTTTATTCAAACAAAAGTTTGGGATGTAGTCGAAAGTTTTTTCGTAAAATTATGATTATCTTCCTTAGATTCTATAACAAGAATCATGGGGCCAATTTTAAGCTTCAAAAATTCTTAGTTTGCAGTTGTCGACCTATTATTTTTAGTCCGGGTTGGTAGATAGGTTTTTTTTTTTTTTTTTTTTTTTTTTCCCAGATTTTTCAGTGTTAGATAAATAATAGAGCTTTTTCTTAGGCCTACTAAACATGAATAAGCTTCACTCTTATTACAAACCACTGACTGATAAAAACAAGTCAAAAATTAAAAATAAAACGGTTTAAATATCCTGAAAAATTGAAAAAAAAGTTAATTACATAATGGCTAAAAAAAGTTTGGGTCGGGTGCATTTTCAGTGGTTTGGTGGACAACTGCTAACAAACAAATTTTTATTTTAGGCCTGGGTGTTTTAATCACAAACATTATATACGCTGTAATAAGAAAATTCCAAATTTCTCGAGTCTTTTACTTGTCACCAAGAACCATACTGTCTATAGTTTACCTAATGCAACAGATATGTTTATACAGGTGCTGAATAGAGTACATGCAGTGTTTATGTGCTTATCATGTCTGCAGGACCGAGGGGGGGTCCCGCTGAAAACATATGCTAGTACTCTTAAATACTGGAAAACACATGCCAATTCTTAATTATGTAACTCTAATTTTCGTATGAAGAAGTTACTTTGTTTGAGCACAATGATGCTGAAGATAATTTCGTTTTATATACGGATTTTTCCACATCATGACAAGGAGCAAGCTTGAGAACAACAACTGAAAAAATTATTAAAGAAAAGATAAGTTTCAAAAATTGATTTAAAGAGAATGCCGTTATCCGACAAAAAGGGTATAGGTCCTAGTGCTCTAGGCATGGTAGAGGACATCTTCCCATTGCATGGCCGGTCCCCCCCCCCCCCCCAAGTGCCGAAATACGAGTAGTTTACTTCTGAAAACATAGCTACTACATACATGCTCGTGCCCCTCAATAAAAACGTCGGATGAACATTTTTTATTGCTTGCCATGGAGTTTTTGGTAGGTGAAAGTGTACCCAACTGAAAATATGACTGTGCCCCCCCCCCCCCCCCCCCACATACACACTCTAAACGGACTTTGCTCCCTACGGGTCTGTGTTGAACAGACAACATGGCAACACTCCCCAATCAGGATATACCTACATTAGTATTATTTATGGACTCAGTCCCCATTTCTGTACCACAGGAGCTCTAGCCATGCACTCTTTTATTTCACCCACTTCATTAAAGTTCTCAATTTTATTGCTCTTAGTCAAGAATCTTAATTTTAACTTCCAGTAAGAACAATTT